AAAAAAAAAAAAAAAAAAAAAAAAAAAAAAAAACTATTTATCTTGAGAACATGAGCTAAGTGACCTTTTAAACTACAGACTCACAGGCCATTGGTATTTTGTTTACACTCAATGGTGTAGTAGGAATGATTGTTCAATTTTTCATTTTCCCCCCAACAGCCAAACGCTTCGGGGTCCTACGTTGCTTCAAAATATCAGCTCTCATGTTCCCAGTTCTTTACTTCCTTACGCCTTTTCTCGCCCTCTTCCCCACAGATAGCACTCGTCAGCTTGCAACAGTAATCCTGATGGCAATCAAGCTGAGTGCTGTGGTCTTTGCGTTCCCATCGTCCATCATCCTTCTTACAAATTCCGCTTCAAGTGTTTCCGTCCTTGGAACCTTAAATGGAGTCGCAACGAGCGCTTCTGCTATAGGCAGGGCCATTGGTCCGGCGGCACTGGGGGCCATATTCTCCATTGGCGTCAAAGCAGGATACATGATAATACCTTGGTGGACCCTGGCGTTCATAGCAGCTATCAGCGCGCTCCCAGCCTTTTGGATCATTGAAACAGATGGCTTCACTGGTGATACAGGAGAGCAAGATAATGAAGACACAGTCGTTGTTGTTGGTGATGCGGAACAGGATAGCCCACCCCTTCTAGAGGTAGGTAATGTGCGACCTGAAAACACAGCTGGCCCAATAGAGGCTAGCAATTCAGATAGTAAAGCCGCCGGCGATGAGCCCACCTTGTCAGCACCATCCAGCTCCTAATCTCGTTACGAATACAAACCACGATATATATGGACTCAGAATTATATATCAATTCCAAAAGGATTACCATTACGATATTTTCCCCCTTTCCGACAGAAATGCCTTTCCGAAAATTGATTCAAATATGCAAACAACATTCCGGTTTTACGTTTCTCACGATGCATAAGTTAATGTGTTTAGGTGACCTTTTACATCTTTTCTATCTGCTAAACATATAGATAAAGTCAATAGAAATAATAACGAAAATTTCCAGTTACCAAATGTATTGGAATAGAAATTTATATATGTATATGTATATATAAGCAGTGTGACAGATATATCCTTAAGGACTGGATATACTTATATCATCCCAACAGCTCAGTGGCGTCGTCGATCTTAGATTTAATAATGTCCCTCCATTTCTATACAAATAAAACATTTTATTAGCAATAGACACGAAATTCAATTAGTGAAAACCACACAAGTTCCTTTACTCACCTCAGCGTTCTTCAAGTCATTGTCTTCAAAACTTTCAATTAGGCCAGGGAACGTGGCACCGGCATATCCAGTCCATCGTCCTGGTGCAAAAATAACATGTCTGTACCAACCTCTGTTATCAAGTCCTTTATCATATAGGAATTTTCTTTCAATATATTTGTATTTCTGGTTAGCAAAGCGAATTTTGAAATAGAGAATAAGCCTACTCCACCAATGACCACCTTTCTCAAGCTCTGTAGCAAGTGACTCCGCATAAGCATCGAATTTAACGGCATTCTGGTGGAATGCGGAGATCGCATCATCCATGGGAGAGAAGTCAAACTGACTCATAATATCAGGAGAGACCTTATCTTTAACCGAATCCAAGTATTTTCTCAATGCAAAAGCATAATCGGTGACATTCAGAGCAAGAACTGGGCTCTCTGCTAGGTATGCGGCTGTAAGAGCCCACATTTTTGCCATTGCAACGTGATATTTAAAACCAACATCACCGAATCGGTCCATCCAGTCAAAACTATCATAGTTGGAGTGGTATTGATAAACTGGATCGCCTGCTCCAGCCGTAAATGCATAATCAAGACTTGGAATTCCAGCAAAATCCTGGAAGGCTGTAAAATCACTTCCACTTCCCATTACACCAATTTCCCCGTCCCAGAGGTCAAGGATGGTCTGCCCTTCAATCGTCTGATTTGGAGATAGGACAAGTCCTGCGGCATTATAGATCGCCTTGTTGAGCAAGGGGCTAGCGTTGGCCTGGAACTTCTTTCCAGACGTGGAAACGTCAACATTGAGGTATGCAACGTTAGCACTTGACAGCCATGAAAGATTTTCTTCGACCCATTCAGTTGATCCAATCAGTGCATACTCTTCGGCATCCCAGCTAGCGAAGACAATCGTTCTTTTAGGTTTCCATCCACCCTTAAGAGCTTCACCGAAGCTGCGAATGACTTCATTAATTACAGCAGACCCACTATTGGGATCGGCTGCGCCTCCAGCTATCCAGGCATCCCGGTGATTGCCTAAAACAATAACCTCATCGGGGATTGAACCTTTGATAACGCCAATGACATTCCATATAGGAGTAGTTACATACTCCTGCTCATTATAGAGATTGATCATGACGTTCTCTGGAGATGGACCAATGTTATAGTCAACACCTTTATGGACTAAACCACCTTCCCACTCTTTGCCAAACTCTGAGGGTTTAGGTCCATGGCCATTGAGAGCTTTTAAGAGCGGGATGGCGTCTTTGTAAGAGATTGGCAGTGAAGGAATGGAAGGGAGAAATTCTTTAGGATTCTGTCTAGGACAACCCGGGTTGGAGGGGTATCCAGGGGTCGTCGGGTCACCAGCTCCAGCAGCTTTAGGAGTAAATATAAGTCAGAGATTTGACAACACTGCAAGATATATATTGTCAGAGAGATGCTTACTCAAAAATCCAACACTCCCTCTCTGCACAGAACTTGGGTTCCCTAGCAGGTCCATCAGGATATGGCTTGTATCCGTTTAACTCAGTCATATCTCCATCTTCCTGTGGATCAGTATAGATAATGACTCCGACCATACCAAGTTCTTGAGCACGCTTAACCTTCAGTCCACGCAAAATTCCGCTATACTTCACCAGCGCAATTTTTCCTTCCAAAGTCACGTTTGCCTTGAGGAGAGCTTCATAATCATCATAATCTCCGTTGTTCACATAAACGTATTGAGCAGTAACATTACCGCTTGCCGAATAGCCGTGGAACGTGGGAATCCTGTCTCTTAGCTCGCTAGTGGTATCTTTATCAAGCTCATCTTCTTCCAATGAAGCCTCGTACATGACTTTGAAAGCATGACCCTCATTTTTGCTCTCGAGAAGTGCTAATCGATGGCTGACGGGATAGTTCAGGTAGACTTCATAGGTCGTGAGTTGGACGTCTGGGACACCAAATTCCTCCCATTTCTCCTTTGTCCAAATAGCCAAGCTGAGGTTTTTCCCCGCGAGATGGGGCCCAGATGTATAATGATGGCTCCAACCCCTTAATTTGTCTGCATTTGGTACGGTCTGCAGTAGGTGCTGGAGGGAAGCATAGTCAAGTCCGTTGCTCGATGTCCAGGGGAAATGATCGGAGATTGAGCCGTATCCGCGTGGGAGTAGAGCATAGGGTAAGAGTAGCACTATGACTGACAGTGCTAATATCGAACCTAGGCAGGTAGTACATAATCGGCGGATTCTTCTATGCGGGTAGCGTGGTGGGGGCCGTGTTACTTCAATATAGAGCAACGGCGTGGTCTCGTGCCGGTACTGCATGCTAGTATGGTTCCCCATTAGTTATAAAGGCAATTAAATCAGACGATGCCTGCTAAAGAGGGCAAAACATTGCAACCAAAAGGTTGCGAGATGATAAGTGCAACGGAGGAGAGGATGTCGGTGATGAGAATGTTGCAGCCTGAAAGGTGATCCTTTACATGCTTCGTCACCGCGCGCATGCCGTCATAACACTTTCTCCCCACGGGGCGCTTACCAATCGGCTATTACCAGGTAACTACTGCGGCACGTGATCATGGTTTTGCCGAGCCTAATATGCTTGTACACAGGTACTGTTGGTTGTTGCAAGATACAAGGAGACACAAGAGAGGCAGCTCGAGAGGACATTGCTATACATCTAAAGAAGATAAAGGCAGGATGATCCCTTAAATACACTTAGGGAATATAACAGCAGAATAAAGAGAAAGGGAGAGGGAGGCGGAGAGGTTTTTAATTTTTTTCTTCCCGCATGGATATCTAAGATCAAAAGAGCATTGGGTCGTACCTTTGTCTTGTTTCTGCATGGTTCATCCCCCGGTCGAATACTGGTACCACTCTTCGAGTCGAGTATAACTCCGGTTCGATGGAAAGGCCTTGGGTGCAGTTAAAAAAAAGTAGGAGAGATGGAATTATGGGAGGCGATAGCAGGGAGAAGGAAGTAGAAGGAGATAATGAGGAGAGCCATGCATTGATCAGTGATCATTCTGGAAACGATCTGTGATCTGACTCACCAGTGCATCGAGGTTGAAGTTCAACTGAGGTAGGCGTGTTTCCGGTTGATCCGAAGAGAAGGGAGGGCGGGTGAAAATGCTGAGGATGCCGGTTGAACCAGATGTTTAATGTGTGGCCGTGGCCCATTCATCGTAATATACCGAGCAGGAACAGAATTAGATGTGGGCTTCGCGCAACCAAGTACGCACCTGAAACAACAGAAGTGGGCAAAGTTGCTGATCATCAACTCGGAATAATCAAGACAAGAGTATATTGTTTGGTGAAGAAAGAAAGAAAAACTGTGATACGTTCAAAAGACTTATCTGCTCGTGAAAAAGTCCCATCGTCTCTCCGACGGTGCGATCCCCAAAACTCCAGAGTAAAGAACATGATGAACTCCTTTTGGTTTCCCCCTTTTTTGTACTTGGAGTAGTTGATGAGATAGCTGGCAGTCCGGTAAGTTCAATATATTAGGATGGACGCTTACGCTGGGAGGTTGACAACTTCTTCGGCACCAGCAACAGGCTCTGCTGCTGTCTCCCCTGAAGAATTCTCGTGCTGTGGAACAAAGGCATATCGAGGTAGACGGGCTAGTTTTTCCTCTGGACTGATCTCATTGTCGGAATAAACTAGTCTGATGGACTTAGCCTTTTCTTTCTTCGAAGATTTACCAGCAGCCCCTTCTTCAGGGGTTCCGGGGGCGGGGCTTGGCTTAGCTGGTAACTCTTTGGCTTGCTTAGCAGCCTCTGAAATCAATTTATCAGCTGACGCTGATAGAGATTCAAAATTAGCATCTGGCAGAGGGTGAGCACGGTTACCCTGCGCATCTGTAGGCATAGGAACAGCTGGAGGCCCAGAAACTTGGCCTTGGTGCAGCTGTTGCATTTGGAAGGCATTGACTTGCGGGGCGCCAAAACTGGGCCGTTGAGGAAGTCCTGGAGCGGGTGGCAAGCTTGGTGTTCGGGTAGGATAGGAGGGAGATATAGTCTGAGGTGGTGTGTGTGTTCTCATTGCCTGGTGGTGCTGTTGGTGATGGTACGGGAGAGTAGGGCTGGCTCCGACTGGTGAAACAATGGGCGGAACACCAGCCTGTGGGTACGGTGACGTTGGCATGTTCGTAGAAGGAGGATACTGATGCATGGGGTAGCTCTGTGGCCCGGCTGGTGGTACAAAACCAGGCTGTTGAGGCTGTTGTGGGAATGCGGCCGGAGCTTGTCCATATGGAGCCGCGTAATGTTGGCCAGATCCGTTCGCTGGCTGCTGAGGGGCATTATACTGCGGTGTGCTAGGCTGCTGCTGCATCAAACATATTAGCTTAACTTGCATATCTCACGATAGATACGCACTAGGAAATAAGAACATACATATGGAGTGCCACCAGGCGTAGATTGTGACTGTTGCCCAGCACCAACGGGCGTAGTGTCTCCACTGCTTCCGCCAGCCGCTTGTTCTGCCAAACGCGCCTTATGCTCCGCAAGTCTCTTCTTCAGCTCAGAAGGAGATTCGAACTTGGGCTTTTTAGACTGTCCACTACTGCCCGAAGTGCCCGGTGCAGGATTTCCCGTTGCAGCACGCCGTTCAGCCTCTGCCTGTTGATACTGTTGCAAGACACGCTGGTTGTGGGCCTGCAACACGTCCTCCGGGACACCTTCCATGCCAAAAATCTCAATATCGAGACTTGACCGGTTCTGAAGGGCATTGTCGACCTGGGATAGAGACTCTTTATGGACCTGGCTCATATGTACCGACAAACCTAGAATCGCTGAATGTCAGAAAAGAAAAGAAAAGAGCACAATTAAGTAGGCATCATACCTCCGGCTGTGTTTAACCTCCTCCCACACCTCTCGCATTTGAAGTGTTTCGCCTTCTGGTGAGAAATGAGAATCTTCAAGTCATCAAAGTCACGCTCACAGTAATAGCACCATGGCCTCGCGAGCAACTCCTCGAGATCCGGATGGCCGCGCTTTTTCTTCCCCATTTTTCTGATATGAGTGACCAGGTTACTGTACTTGAAAGAATTGATAGAATAAAGCAGAGAATGGAAAAAGAAAAGGAGAAAAAAGAAACCAGGACAGGGAGAGGGAGAACAAGTATAAGTAAGTTAGTGGAAGTCTCTGAGGAGCCAATAAAGCGCTTCGCGTGCTACTTCTGCCTCTTCGCTGTCTTCTTCGTTGCCTTCTTCGCCAAGTTGTTGAATCGAAGAGGATGTCGCTTTTTCTTCGTTGCTTTCTGGGCATTCGTCACGTGATGGTGATTACCCGATCGTCGCCACACGAAGTACTAGATGCCTGCAATAATGATGTTGGTTGGTGATGTGTATGGAGCCAGATGATATGATAAAAGGAGTTGGTCAGGCAGAATGCAGTCAGCTGCTGTTAGAAGATTTCTTTCCTTTTTTTTTCTTTCCATTTTTAGGATAAGTCCATTTGTCCAAGTAAATATTATACATGCGCGGCCGAAAACTATTTAATGCCATTCCACCCAGTTGTGCTACCCCCTAACCAAGCAAGAAAGCAAGAAAAGTAGTCAACGCAGCAGCGGGAGGTATCAACACGTTGCAGTAAAGCAAAAGACAGAGCAAAACATGATCAGAAACAAACCCCTCCCAAAGACCAGTCAGTGTATGTAGTTGTGACAAAAAAAAATCAGTACGAGTGAAACAAGCAGAAATACAAAAGCCACGGGCATTGAAGTTATACCAGAGTAAACGAAGCAGAAACCAGAGAGCAAAACAGATATTACAATCAAATCGAATCGCCATGCTAGTAAGTAGTAAGGGATGATGAGATGCCGAGACATCGTTGGCCAACTCAACTCCACAAAAGGGTGAAAAAAGAAAAGAAGATATCAACACGTTAGACACGCCAGTTGTTCTGACATCTCATCGATTAACCAGTGGCATGTTCAACGATGAGATGCCGTATGCATATGGTAATGAAATGAACTCCCTTCCCCATGCTCAGAAATAGGTGTGACGGGCTCCGTCTTGCCGTTCGCATCTCGTCTCATCTTCTTGATGGAAGGAGGATGGCTATCGGTTCTCTCTGCGGAGTTAGCGGCCGTTCTCTTCCGGCTCGCTAATGACGCAACTGATGGATCAAGGCTGGCCTCTCGTTCAGCTACCCGTGCAGCTTCGATCTGGGCCTTAGTTCGTTTGGGGTTTCTTGTTCTGCCCTCCTGGTTGAATTTCGCCCAGTGTAGAATCATGGCTTCGGTGCGTTTGGGGTGTTTGGAGTTCTTAATCTTGAGTTGGTTTTTAGGATCTTGAAGGGGATCCGGATAGAATGGTGTAGAGGCCTTTGACGTTCCTGCTGATGTCGGAGCTGGGGATTTTGGTGACTTGGGTGATTTGACGGGGGCGCTTCGGGGTGCGCTGGTTGAGAGAGCATATAGGGCCTGAGCTAAGGGCCGGGTAGACTTTCGGACAGGTGTTGGGACACTGCTTTGAGGCGTAGCGTGTCTAGATTGTGAGCGGGAAGGGCCGCCGGGGCTGCCTGGTTCGGATGGAGCTTGAGATGTATCACCAGTAGATGAAGGCTTCGAGCCTCCATAGCGGGTCACACGTTTAGGTACGAGAAGAGCTTTGGCTTCGGCTTCAGCCTTTGCCACGTTAGGAGCTCTCTTCTTCGGCTTGATAACAGGTGGTGGCCGAAGTTTGGGAACACACTCTACTCCATTCTCCTTGACGGTAGCCCAGCGGTTCATCTTCCATGGCTCCGTGCCGCTTAACTTCATCTTTCGCATCTGATCGGCAGTAGGAATGAATCCACCCTGAGCGAAAGGATCCTGATAGCCAATCTGGCTAGCTTTCGGGTCATGTTTGTAACCATATAGCATTGCTTCTTTTTTATCCTCGAAGACCTGCGGGTCCTCAAGTTCCCTTGGGTTGGAGGTCTTCTTGAGTGAAGACCGTGTAGCTCGCTTTATCAGCTTTTCAAGCGCCATGTGTTCATCTTGCCAGACCCTGAGTGCATGAGCTGCATTAACGGTAATTGCATAAAGCTCCTTTGTCGAAAGGGTCGAGGGGTCCTTCATGATATCAATGTATATATTGGGATCTGTGAGGGTCAAGAATTTTCCCGGAGCAGTAGAAGCTGATTCGTAGGGCTGCGGCCGCTCGAACCCATCAAAAGCGCCCTCCCAACGCGACTTGATATCGTCCCGCTTGCCCTCGTAATCTTCTGTGAAATTTCTAACATCATGCATGGTCCAGTGGCGTTCCAGCTCTTCCTCGACATTGGGTGTGCCTTCACTCTGAGAGGCAACCGGTAAACGACTCCCTTGGTCTGACTCAAGAGATGGAGTGAGATTCTCTTCGGCAACCAGATTGTTGAACAAGTCTTTGGCAATATCCGGATGCTCATCCCGCATGTGCTGTTTGAGACTGTCGAGACTATTACCAGTGGTTGCTTCTGATTCAGAGGTCCCCGATGGGAACTCTAGCCCGCACCAGGTGCATTTTACAGGGGGCAAGTCAGTAGCCGGGGTATGTTGTGAAGAGGCTGACGGGAGGCTGCGTGGCTCAGATAACCCTCGCTGTACTCTCTGTGTTAAGGGAGAGTCCGGAGTGTTTATCAGCGGCATCCCAATGTCGATGTCATCCTTGGGCGCAGACGTGGACGACATCGTGGCACAGAAGACAAGAAGAAGGACAAGAAGAACAAGAAGAACAAAAAAAAAAAAAAAAAAGGAAAAAGGAAAAGGAAACCAGCGAGAAGAAGGCTCTTCTCTCTCCTGCGTACGAAGTTAGTAAATGAGGTGACCATAAAGTAGGCAGAGTAAGTGACTATAATACTGCTGCAATCACTGCATCACTGCATCACATGGTCCGGAAGGGAGGGAGGACAAGAGTGAGAGGAGACAGCGACATGGAACAAGAAGATGTATAGAACAGTAAAGTAAGCATCGAAGGTGAATTGCGTGCGCAGAAGAGCGAGGCGAACATCTTTCTTTCCCCCGGGTCTAGAGGAAGAAGACGAAGCAGTGATGTGGCAGTTGATGCAGCGGCCGGCCATGTAGACGAAGCGAAGTAGAAAAACTCTTTACTTACCTCAATAGATTAAAGCCGCCTTTATTAATAATAGTAATACCATTAAGTCGTTGATGTGTTGATGCAGACCAGCGTAGTGTTCAGTGACTTGCGTGAAGAAAAAGTAACTTCCTTGGACCTTTTAACTAGTTAGAGTATCAAACGGCCAATCAAGAAGTTATCAAGGCCGGGCTGATGTTGGTTGGTAGGCGTAGACAGTCAGCCGGGGGAGCAAGTAGAATCGGTCAACGACGAGAAAGCGTAGTAGTAGTAGTTAAACCCGCCCAGCGGATCAGCGGAAAGGAGGGAAACGAAATGGAAAGGAAAGGTGAAGATGAGAAGAAGAAGAAGAAGAAAAAAAAAAAAAGGCGTAGATTAAACAGGGCTGAAGGGGAAAGACAAGATCAGGGAGGGTAAGAAGTGTCTCGATCGTTGATTTTTTTTTTCCCTGAAGGATTGATAGTACGACAGTGAGAGACAACACCTTGCGAGAGAAAGGAGAAGGGGATAGAGAAAAGAAAAAAAAAAAAAAAATCTAGTTTTTAGGTTAGTAAGGCAGAGCTGATGGACAAGAAGAGCTGGCGAGCCCAAGATGTTCGGCCATCTAGTAAGTAGACGGAGAGTAAAGGGAGAGTGGAGGAGGTGAAGGAGACGAGAAGAATCAGCAGAAGGGAAGAGAGAAAAAGTAAATCTAGTTTGAGGTGGCGAGGAGACGTGGTTGTGTTGTTTTGGGGGTGATGAACGGGATGGCTAGGTTATATGATAGTTATTTCGGCCAGAGGGAGCAGAGAGATGAAGAAGAAGCCGATGATGGGGACTTTTCTCTCCAGGAGAGGCTGTCGGGGCCTGTCTAGATCGGAGAGCAATAATGGCGCTGAGGCGAGGGTGACAGTGAACAGTGACAAGGAGGATGGTTGATGGTTGACGTCGGAGAAAGAGGCAGAGCAGCTCAGGACAAGAACGCAGGAGGAAGAAAAGGCCTTTGTCGGCTCGAGGACACGACACAGCCAGGGGGGGCGGTTGCTGGTGGTTGGTGCTCCTTTGCTGTTGCTGGGGGAGAAGTTTGCAAGCAGCAGCAGCAGCAGCATCCACGATCCGATCTAGATGTGGATTTTTTTTTTTTTATTTTTTTTTTCCTTCCCTCCCTTTAGGTAACGAAGTAAGTAGAAGAAGGACGAGGGAAGAAAGGGAAAAGGACAGGAAAAAGAAAAGAAAAACAAACTAATACGGAGTAAAATAAGTTTAGTTTCCAAAGGGACAAGCAGCTGCTCGACTTTCGCTCTTTCGTCTCTTTCGCCGGCTTTGATACATAGTTGGGTTAGTCAGCAGGGTGAGGCCCAATCAGAGGCCGAGAAAGTCGCGGGAAAGTTACATGGCGTCAAAAGTCGTTACGCGATGATACGGCGGACAAGGACAGGCAGGACATGGAGGTTGAAGGCGCCCGGCCTGCTGGATGGCCTCGCCTGGAAGGGATGGTCGGGCAGCTGTGTTGCTGTCTATTGAGCAGCGGGGAGCGTCGCCTATTGACAGCGACAGCCCCCTGCGTCTCGGCCTCACCCAGCCCAGTTCGTCCACCCGGTATCGCGTGTGAGATTTCGGAGGCGTCTCTTATTAGCGCGCGGTAATGCATATCCTCTGCTCTCTACTTTAACCTCATCTCCAGTCTCAACTGCGGCAGCAGGCAGTTATTGATCACCTCTTCTATTAATTGGTAATTCATTGCCAATAACTGGCAGACTAAGAAGCTCATGGCCTATTTATATAGCCTACTTTCGTCATATTGAATGCTACGGCTATCTCGTATACAGAACACGGTGTCGCAAAGTGAATACACAGCGCACTGCTACATACATAATATATTCAGCATGATAGTGAGTTGGATGACATAGCGATAGGTTCAATCACAGCTTCTCTGTTTATATATCTTGTTTGATAACAGGCGGTGGCCTTGACGGGTATAAACGTACGGCGTAGTGGACGTGGCGATCGATAGTTCCCAATATGCTCATTCATTAGCTTTCATCTTTACCGCCATCGCCAAGACAGGTAGCATCCACCAAGGATGATGACCATAAGCACCAAATACAGTGTGAGACTGCCGTCCATTTGACATGGTAAGGAGTATCAAACAGGATGGTGGCAGGCATCGAGCAGGAAGAAGCCGGCAAGCGAGCGCTACTTGTGTTATTGTCGTTTTGATGACTAGTGCGAGTTAGTTATACTTAGTAAGTGCTAACCCAAAAAAAGCTAGCTGCGACACATATGTAGCCAATCATCAGGGGTAAATGTACCAGCCAATCAGCGAAGCATCAGCTGACCCACTTCCCGCAACACACATTTTACGCGGGTAAACACAGCATGAAAATCACTATACTGCAATTTCAATGGACGGAGCATATTTGATATCTCTGCAAAGGACATACTGACGGCTGGCGGTATTCCTCCAAGGCGGGCTAGCTACCAGCACTCTCCCTGCCCCTGACTTTAACTTTTTACGTTGGACCGTACTTAGCCTCCGGGTCTACTTTTTCAGTGAGAGAAACACAATAACTATACATAGAATCCTGCCCGCGCCAATGCTCTCCACCACATGAACCACAGTGCGTCATCATACATGCCTGCCGCTTTATCTCTCACTATAGTGTTCCCCTGATTGAGAAACATAACCGTGGCATCCGGGCATACGTTGTCGGGACGAAGCTGGTTCAGCAATGGATCCTCAGCGACCATCTCCGCATTTCGTTCGAACTCCGGCATGCAGGCCAAAAGAATTGCTGGTTAGCGCAGTGGAAATGACAACTTCAACATGGCGTCAACGTCACTGCCCGCCGGACTCTGTTCGTGGAGTAGTGGCCTGAAAGGCGAGACAAAGAGTGTTCATGATAATGCGAGGTGGTTTCAATTTACCACTCACTCCGCTGCGGATGGTACTTGGTCTAGGAGGATGAAGGTATCTAGTTCAGCCTAAGAGCTGCATGGCCCGCAAGTCCGATTGATTAATATTCCCCATAACACAGGCGCAAGCCTGAAAACCATCCCAGGCAGAGATGATAACCCATTGCAGAGTTTCAAGGGCGGTTGTCGGACCGAATATGGACTCTAATCATAAGCATAACAACAATTCTGTCGGAAGATATGAATGGGCAAACAAGTTCGTGAACCCCATTTACTATTCTCGAAGAGGACAAATGAACCTATACCGACGAGACAAGCAGGGAAAGGGTTTGGGAATTTACACAAGCCGAACCCCAGGAATATAATCTATCTATATCTTTCCAGGTCAAAAAGCCGAGAAAGGCGAACTGGTGAGGAGAGGGTTGCTGATTGAATCAATCAGATGGAGATTTTTAGCTGGAGTATATCTTGTCACATTGAACTTCAAGGAGACAATCACAAGAGCTAACAGCATGCTATCAATCTCTTATGGGTTATCGCTACCCCACGGGATATCGTTGAAAGGGCATCACACTCATGTTGATGTACCGGTAGCTTTATGCAAAATACCCACCGACTGGCGGTCAAGGCGGAGAATGGCGCTACTGACCCATGATCAATAGTGATACCAATGAAGTACTCGTGAGGGTCCACAAGACATACTTGCTCCTTGCTCTCAATGGCGTGAGTTAAGTTGAATGAAACCAGTATATAGGTATTTCAAGGCTCAAAGTGATCGGATATATTTGAATTGCTTGTCGGGTATATTTGAAAGAGGTGTGGTAACAGTCATGTTCTTTAAGACCCTCGGGCTGCTTTGGAAATAGAGAATGACTGTGATAAGTAGAAGTGAGGACCTGTGGATGCTTTTTTCCCGACTGTAAGCTGTCTAACAAACTTCCTTTTGGAGACAGTATGTGTTTTGCTGAAGCGGGTACACCAATACAGGGAAATTTGAGCAACCAAGCTGATGATGAATCTGTATATTCATCCTTAGCTTGTTCTCAAGAGATCTGCCCCGATAGAATTGTATTTGAACTAGAAAGCCAATCGTGCCCCGGTATTTGCTTTATTGGGGTATTTATTCTATAACAAGTGAAGCCTTTCTGTCTGCGGAGAGACCTCGCCTTCTGTGTATATGTATGTATGGATGGATGATCGGGATTTTACGGATTTTTGCGCGATAGCGACCTATCTAATTACCTAGCTGCTTATCACCCTGGTGGCAATCTCACCCCATTGGCTATCTAGTGAGCGTCCTGCAAACCACCCCACTAGTTAAGAAAATGCATATGAAAGTCATTGAAGCCTGTCATTTGCGCGTTCGAGGAATCAAGCTCCTTTCCTCTTTTAGTCGCTCTTGGCTTGCGGCTCGGCCCGCCACCGAAAGAGTAAATGCATGGGGTCCTCTCACCTCGGTGGTATAGTTAGTTAGCCCTCATACCTGCTGAAAATGTTTGGGGTAGAGTAGTCTCTCGAATTACATTGATTTAAATTATCGACCATAGGGGGTTATTCCTGTATCTCCCTTGGTAAGGTCTTGGTCCATTATTACTTTAGATTGACAAGCTGCCAACTAACCATATATATCCAATAGGTATTAGCCACTATCTATGCTGATTCTCAGCTCTGAATAGTCTTTAATAATTAAGCCGAATCCTCTAGTTACAAAGAACAGTGGACGACGGACTACGCTATTCATACCTGGCTAACAGATGCCCTCAGTCATTCATCTCCCCCACATTCAACGCGACTAAAAACCTACTGACGCAATTATACGCCGCTGTCGTAGCCGTAATCTCGACAACCTCCTTCTCACTAAACACTCCTTTAATCTCCTGGAACACGTCCTCCGGGACCTTGACGTTTCTCGTCATGGCGCTCGAGTACCGATACACAGCCATAAGTTCCTTGCTATCCAGCTCCCTCGCCAGCTCTGCCTCGTCACACGTATCAAGCTTGATCAGTTCAATGGCTTGATCGGATACACCTGCAGCCTTGAGTAATGGGAAGTGCTGTTTCCATTCGAACCATGCTTGGTTGATGGCTGCGACGCGGCAGATAGCTAGTTCGCGGGCGGCGGCGGGAATGGAAGTCCGAGTGCGAATTGCGCCAAAGAAGGAGTTCCAGCCATCTGCGACGGGGAAGGAGTGTAGGAGGGTTAAGTCTAGGGGAAGAAGGCCATTGGGGCCGCGCCGGGCCTGTATTCGTTCGAGGATGGCGGTTTCGTCGGGGGTGGCTGTAGTGGGGGGGTTGGAGGTGTAGGAGAGACGCATTTTATAGTGTTATTGTGGTAAACGCTAGCTAGCTTTGGTGGTGGACAACTGATTATTACAGAAAGAGAATGAGGTTGTTATATGTGTGCTTATAATTTAGTATGAGGACAGATAGTGTATGTTTATACACGAGTGTGGGGGAAATGTAAAGAGTAATGATAGCGGCTCAGACCCCGCCGCCAATGGCGCTTATCGGCAACGACCGGGTTGCGGCAGGCAGGGAATGGCGGCTATTAAGCACAGGGTGATAGCCGCCTGGCGCGGTAACTATACCCGCCAGCCGAAACTAATTGATTAAGATTGGACGAATCAGAGGTGATAATTAGGTATAAGAGGTAGAATATGACACTAGGAATAGGCACAGGGAGGATGGCGCAAAAGGGTAGAAGTAATTAGGTCGATGGAGGCACTGAGCACGTCTCGCTCTATAACGGTAGCAAATCATATCAGACTGACAAAAAGGTAGTAATAACTCCAAAAAAACACAACAACCCGTTATTCAGCTGTATGGGGCTGGTTAGCAGTTCCATCCGTGCTTGGATTCGCGTTGGCTTGCTTGTTTCCCAGCCATGGTGGTTTGAATCAATAGGCGCGTACCTTTCCTTCCATGGAGACTCCACTCCCTTTGACGCCCTGAAAAATGAACGAGAGAAAAGCAAGACATATAAAAGATAACAAAAAAAAAGTACAGTAATTCCAGTTTGGTTTGGACTTGTCCTCTCATTTTCACTTTTCTCACTTTCTTATTTCTTACTGTCTTGCTCGGGGCACGGGGAGATGCCAAGTACTCATGTTATAGTTCCTGACCATCTGCCACCGTCTCCTTGAGCCGGGCAGAGTCTTTGAGAGTGTTAGTAAGTCTCTCCACCGGCGCCATTGTGCGCCGTGCCTACCATAGTGGGATATCCGTATGCTGCGCCATCCTGCTCGTTCGGGTCGAGACTCCCAGTCAGAAGGTTGTTGGAAGCCTCGGGGGGTGGAGGGACTGCGAAGCCCGCTGGTGGTTGTTGAGCTGGTGCTGCCCCGGCCATGCCTGCGGGTACTGGAGCGGGACCGCCAACTGGGCCACCGGAGCCATATCCACTGCTGGATGGTCGGTTCTGGTTTTCGCCCCTGGCAGTTTGGGTCTGGGGAGTTTGGTTAACATCTGGCTTTTGATGGAAAAGGGAGAAGACACGGGGAGGGAATACGTGGTGTATATAATGGGGAGAAGATGTAGAGGTAAAGGAAAGAAGGAAAAGAGAGGGGGAATATGAAGAAGATGTGCATACAACTGTGTACTTACTTCCCGGTATTTCGTGAGGTAGATTTTCAAGGCTTCGGCGTAGTTTTCGAATCCGAGCGATGTCATGGCAAAGAGGATATCTTCCCCATTGACAGTCTTGCGTTTCTCTCCCTGACACTTCTCCGAAGCTATATTGTTCCATCAACCATGCGTTAGTATCTACCTCTCCACTTCAAGGTGCAATTACAAAGTTTGCCACCCTTGTCACGTTGTACGACGTACCTTCGCTGGTGATGAACGATATGAACTCGCTCACACACTCTTGCATGCACTCCTTTGCTTCCTTTGCTATTTTGGCATTCTCGGGCAGGGCAGTCTTCATAATTCGGGCCACTATGGGAAGTTAGAGAGGAAGAAAAATCACATGTTAGTAAAGCTGAACGTTATTGATAAACGTGAGGGAGGAGGAGCATGGGTGATATGGATGTCTTTGGTGATTGGACCAAGCTGCAGCCAGATTCAAGGTTGCAGCGCATCAGCTTGAGGCTGATTGACTGTATGCGCATGTAGCTTGCTTTGGGAAGAAGTGGGGGGGAAAGCATGGACATGAGACTGTCTTTGCCTTGTAGAAGGGACTTTGGACTTGACAAGAGGGAGTTTGTATATTGGCGCCGGCTAGTGTTGGTGTCCTGTGCGTGCATGAGACAGTGACCAGTCCTTTTGGTGTATCTTTTTTTCGCGCCAGTCTGGGTTTCTTTTGTGTGCGAAAGGAGTTGAGGGAGGAAAAGGTGGTAAGATAGGGCAGGTGGGTGACTTCAACAAAAGAAGACGACGGGATTGACAACAAGAGGGCAAGGAGAGAGAAAGGGATAAACAAACCATTTGCAATTGGCAGCCATCGGTCCTGCTCTTTGACCTCGAATTCGCCCTGGCCCTGCGTCTGTATATCGTGGTGTTCTCTTTCCATGGGCTCCGCCTCGTCTCCTGACTGAGTAACTGGTTCCACCTCTGGTTCCTTTGGAGGAGAGGCCGAAGACATGGCTTATACGTCCGTTGGTTATGTATGTACGGGGAGGTGCGCAAAGGGGCTAGGGACAAGCAAGGCAAGGGGGCAGAGAACGGCTCTTGCGGCAAACGGAGCGTATGGGATGGCGCTCCTGCTTCGAGTAGTGTGGACTTGACACGTCACTCAACCCTCCGTACAAACCCTAAAGGGGGGGGTGATGGGATGTGAATTAACTATGATAGTCTGACTTGGTCCTGTAGGTCCCAAACGTCAAACGTCAAATGGCCGTGGGCGGGCGCGTTGGTGTGTCCCTTGTGTCCTGCATCGAAAGGGGGACCGCATTAGCTTCAGCACCCAATGAGCACGGCGGTCTTGCTTCACGATCGCCTTGGGCCGGGCAAGGCATCTTTTCTTCTTCAGACCAAGACAAGAAGAAGGAGCCGGAAGGAAGAGCAGGAACAGCAGACACAGAAGAAACAGAACAGAGACAGCGAGAGAGGCAGAGACAGCGAGAAGGGGGGTGGATACCTTGGATACCTCGAGCCGTATCCGCGGGCAATGGGAGGCCGTGGAACAAGCAAGGACCGGGCGGCTGGCCGAACAGCGCAGCAAAGGCAGGGCAAAGCCAAAAAAAAAAAAACAACGAGGGAAAAGGAAAAATAAAGAATAAAAGGTAATGGGAGCGTCGAGTGCTTGGGGGAGGGGGGTCGGCGGACTGCCTGTTGACTGGATGGACGTACGGAGTGTATGTTGTTCGAAGGCCAAACAGAAGAGGCGTTTCCCCCCAGGGCAAGGCAGGACAAGGCCTGGCTAATCCGCCGAGTCGCAAAAGGAGGCTAAAAAAGCAAAACGCGCTGGCCGGCCGCAGTGCTCTGTGACTTTCGCCCGGTGCGACTCGACTCGACTCGACTCGAGCTGGCTGGCGGTCGGTCGGTGGAGGTGGAGAGCGTCGCTGCGCTGCGCTGGCTGGTTGGGCGGAAACCCGAGTGACAGTGACAAGCCGGCGTTTTCGTGTCGGCGGCGATGCTTTTTGGAGCTTCTCTCTCGAGGGCGAGGCAGGAGGACGCTGCGGTGCGATGCGATGCGATGCGATGCGAGGTCGAGGGTGTTGTTGTTTCTGCTGGGCCGCGCTAGCCAGCGAACCTGTGCTGTGCTGTGCTGTGTGTGTTTTTTATTTTTATTTTTATTTTTATTTTTTGCTTCTTCAGCGGGTGCTGCTGGTTGTCCTTTTTTTCGATGCTTGACCGCAAGTTGGGTATACGACAGGGCGATGTGACCAGAGCTGAGAGCAGGCGGCGGGCGATGCAGAGGCTGGCGCAGGCGGTCGTTGGTCGTTGGTGTTGTTGGTGTTGTTGGTGGACATGGAAGAAGGCGAGTTAGGATGGCGGAAGAAGATGAAGATGAAGATGAAGATAAGATTAGGTTAGTTGGCTAGTTATTGCTTATCTTGTTTTGCTAGCTAGCCTGCTGCTGCTGCTGCTGCTGCTGATATATATCCATGATATCCGAGGATGACGCTGGAGCTGGTCTGATATTGATAGTTACTGGCGGCGATGGCGATAGCACTGCTGTCTACGAACTGTCTAAGAACTGTCTATGGCTCGAGCAGCTCAGAATCAGGCCAAAGGAGCTGCTAGTCAGGTAACTAGTTAGTTATCCGCCAGGAGAAGCGCCTCCACTGCAAAGACGGTGCTACGGCATCATGGCCTGCTCTGCTTCCTAGGCTGGCAGTCATCTCGTTGTAGACGACATCTGAAGAAGTACAGAGTTCTGCTCTCGACATTTGACAAGCTGCATTGCAAGATGCATGTACATAGCTATCACAGACAAGCATAGCAGAGATCAAAGGCCAGGATGGTCAACCACGCCGATCGCCCAACCGTCTTCGTGACAGCCGATAAATGATCTGTCGCCTGCATATTGTACACAGGTCCTTAAGCTTCTCTCTCTTTCTCCCTCAAAGACGATGATGGCCTCACTCACGCATGCCGACGTCGATACCCAACCGGTAGGCCGCTTCCAAACACACGGGACCCAGCATACAGAGCTGGCTAGCTGCTTACTCCCAGCTGGAGGTAGCTTAGCCTGTTTAAAGACAGTGCAAGCGAGGGCTTCGCTTGTCTTCCAGGTTCCGTCCCCGTCTTGTCTGAGCGCGTGTGTCTGTCCATGCTGGCTCCGGGTTGGTTAGGTAGACGTGCATCCCACAGACAAGCTTAAATCCCCTTTGTGTCTTTTATGCGCTGGTCAGGGCCCATGGCTCATCTCGGCGCCTTGCATAGTCACTGAGAGAGGAACGTCAGCGCGGGCATGGCCATCGTTGTCATCCTACCCTGCCGTTTGCAGACACTCTATAGCACTTGCCCCTACGGCACTGCCAATACACCATAAACCAAACTAGTAAATACCAACCCGTAAAAGAAGCGTCCAAAGTAGAAAGGGGGGGGGAGGGTAAAGAAAAAAAAAGTCCATAACTCCATTTCATTTTATGCCCGTTATTCATGCCCTATTGCTGCACAACCTGGATATGGTTCTTTTTCTTCCAGTTGTCCATCTCGTCCTGCTTGCTCTTATACTGCTTCATGAGCTCGTCGAGAACCTGCTTGAGTCCATCTGCGTTCGTCTTCAGCGAGGGGATCACGTCCTTTACTGTCCGCTCGACAAGCACGCCGTTGATCATACGGAAGCATTTCCGGTCCAGAGGGAGGGGCTGGAGGGATTCTATTACGAGTCTTGATGGTGTCAGTGTGTCAGTATGTCTCGGATGGGCGGTAGATGAGTAGGCAGAGCAGGTATTCGGGTTGGTGCGGGTAAGTACTTGTGTTCTTCGGCTTCGGTCTCGATGTCGCCTATCTTCTGTGCGAGCTGGTGCAGCGTGGTCTTGAAGTTGGAGTACTGCATCTGCAGCTCTGCGGGGAGGTCAGTTACTTCAGGGACGGCAGGTAAATAGCAAGAGCGAGAAGGCCGGACGTACCTTGCTGTCTCTTTGGGTCGACTTGTGCCGCCATGATGGTGCTGGTGCTTGGTGGCGGTGCGCTGGCGTGAGATGTGATGTTGTTAATTCAATTCGTGATGTTTTTCGATGTTCTGAGGTTGGTGGAAGTTGACTTAGTAGTTTGCATCGCCAGCCAACGTCAAAATCTACTCCATACAGCAACAGCAAATACTCAAACTGATGTATAAATCGCTTTATTCCATCTATCGTGATATCCAGGTCCAAGAATCTATATAAGGCAACTATATAAAGCAAAAGAGGGGGCAAAAAAAAAAGGAGAAAAGGAAAAGGATATGAAACAATGTGGTATATATACATACACATTACCGGGTACAATTAGCAAATAGACACTATATACAGCATAAAAACCCAGCGCGAAAGCAAAACCAAGCCGAGAAAAGGAACTTTTCCCAACCGTACGTGTTTTCCCCTAAAACTGAAACTGCTCGTGGAAGAAAAGTAGGAAAAGGGGCCCCCCTTTGAAAGAAGTGAAAAAAGAGGTTGACCATGAACGCCGGTCCTTGCACCAAAGAGGTGAAATGTAAAGTAGTATAGTATAATATAGTATGGTATGGAATGGCATAGTGTAGTGCAGTATATAGTTATATCGTCGTTAACATAAATTGCCGTAAGTAGATGGGATGGGGGTATATATATATAAAGCAAGTTGGTCGGTAAGGTGGAATCGGGGACGGTACGGAGTGTGTATATATGTGTGTGTAGAATGGGGGGTCGATCATCGGCCAGGACCAGGCAGCGACAGCCCTAACTCTGCAACCAGGTACTCTCCTGGAAATAATCCGTCAATCCTGGATCATGCAGGTATAGCTCGCGCCATTCATCTTCCATGTCATTTAGATTTTCAGGAACGACGGCTCCACAGGCGTCAGACTCAAAGGTGAATAGCTGTCGCCAATCTGGTCCCTGACCTGGCGAAGGAATATGTTCCGAGGCTCGGGCGCGGGGTTGTTGCGGTTGCTGCTGCTGGGGTTGGGGTTGGGGTTGGGCTTGCGCCTGGGATTGTCTTTGTGGATGAGGTTGAGGCTGAGGCTGCGGGTGAGGATGATGAGGTGCGCTGACGGGGCCCATGGGCTCAGAGTGGGAGAAGTAGGTGAGTCGTTCACCGAGCTGGGCTTTCGGCCACCAGGTATGGAGCTGTGGTGGAGGCAAGGGAGCCTCGACCTGTGGTGATGGGCCTTCGGTTGACTTGGACACGGAGTCCCCTTCCTTGTGCGGTAGGCTGGCATTGGTTTGCTTCGATTTGACCATTTGCATATCGTACTTGAGCCGCTTGGAGCTCTCGAACAAGTGCAGGATGCTCTCTGCGTTATGCCAGTATTCCGATAGCGCGCGGAGAGAAACGAGCGTGGAGTCAAACCGGCGCAGGGCATTGATTGCAAGAACCGGATTAAAAAAGCGCAATTCCACTCGGATCTGGATCATGGCCGTGAACAGCGTATTAACGGCGGAAGACCAGAGATACTTGACCCGGTCCTTTTCGCGGAGCTCCTCGAAGATAGACACAATCACTCCTGCGGCGGCACTGCATATCTCTGCGTCGTTGTGGGCGTAGGTGTCTGCCGAGGCGCGTGGGTGAGGACGGTGCAGCAGGATGAGGAAGTTGTTGTAGGTGAGATGGAGCAGGGCGGGCCAGGCGTGCATGTCCGAGGTGGACATGCGGACCGTATCAGGCAGTTTGATAGACCAGTTTGCCAATGCCTTGTCGGCTTCGGACAGGATGCTCTTGCGCCGTTCGGGAGCAATGCGCAGACCAAAGCGCTCGCGGACAATGAAGGATATCATACAGCACAGCTCGGTGAATTGTATCACATAGTCCTTTTGGATGTTGTTGCCGCAACCCTCGAAGTCTGCCTCCCTCAACGGCTCGACGTCGCAGTCGTCCAAGTTGATGGCCTGCGGACGGCCGTACTGCAGGGAGACCATGACATCAAACTGGACGAGAATCCACCATGCTCTGCGCCACATCCGTTTGTCGTGAGGAACGAATATGCTGGACCCGGAGTTCCGGTGCATCCCTAGCCCCGTAGCTATCCTTGCGGCGACGCCTACCCAGTAATGAGCGTTTGCAGCGACGTCGTCGTCCACTGGGTCAGAATACCAGGTAAGCAGGAGGGCTGCCTGGACCATGATATCCCTGTTCCGCTCCACCCTGGCCTCGAAAAGGAGCTTAGCTCGCCGAAAGAAGGCCGCCTTGAGGGTGTCTCGCATTGGTCGAGGGCGGGAGACGTGCGCACCGGCAAGCAGGACAGCCTGCAGGATCAAAAGGGAGGGAGCATCAGAGGAGTCCCGCCCCTTGTACTGAGCCATGAAGATGTCCTCTGCCAGGATGGGGAAGCCGGGATTGACATGCTTGAAATAGGCGTCGACCAGCTCATCAGCTAGAGCGGGTTCGGGCAAAACGAAGGCATCCCGGGGAACCTGCTCGAAGCCACACTCGATGTACTTGCGGGAGATCTCGTTGGTAGCAAAGTGGTACACCTCGTCGTCACGGTCTACATGCTGCTGGCGCAAGAGGAAGTTGAGATTGGAGACGTCCTGCCCGACGTAGATGACTCTGACGTTCTTCTGGATCTTGCGGTGCGTCGACTCGTCGTCGATCAGCTTTGCGAGCTGCTTATCCCGCTCCGAGGACTCTTCCTCATCCGGCGAGATGTCACGGTAGTCCATGACCGAAGCTGCCGGGTAGGACCCCTCCTTCTGGTCCCGATCCTGTTCCAGCTGGGCTTCATGCTGCTGCTGCTGCCGCTGCCGGTGTTGTTGTTGTTGTTGCTGTTGCTGGTGGTGGTGGTGCTGTTGATGTTGATGTTGGTGCTGGGCGGTAATGTCGAGGACGGACATGGTGGTGTGGTGCGAGTCTGGCATGGGCGGGTTCGACAGCGCGGCCTGTGCATGCGGCTCGTCCGATTCCGGAAAGGGAGCGCATCTGATGGGGACGGGATGCCGCAGGGACCTGGAGGCGGTCCGTTTCTTCTTCTCGTGGATGCGGCAGTCTAGCTTGCCGGCGGTCCTACAGTTGGAGCAAGGGACCCCAACGGTGCGCGCATCACAGCGGACCTTGCGCTGGTGGCAGTGAACACAAGCGGCGGGCCCTAACACCTGGTCAGCAAGCAGCACTACTTCTTCGCTTCGTCTTTTTTTTTATAGTGAAGAGGGGATGGGGGAAGGGAGGAGGAATTGGAAGTACTCTTCCGCTTAAGGCCATTCTCGTCGGCCGGAGACGGGGGCTTGACATCCATGGAGAGGCCAGCCGGTCCAGTCGAGTCCTGCCCGGGTCAGGTAGAAGGTCAAGTCAGGTCCAGCGGTCTCAAAGGGTCTAGGTTATATCGCACACGCACTCCACGAGGCCGAAGAGACCACCAGCCATGCCACAGCGGTCTCCTCGCAGGTCTAATGGGCTGGTAGATGCAGGGAGCGGACAGAATTGTGCTTGTAGAGGGAGGTGGGAGCCGGTGGTCGAGAAGTGGTTGAGAAGTGGTGAGAAGTGGTGAGAAGCGATGGATAGCAAGCAGAAAGCGAAGACGCAAGAAGAAGCAAAGCGAGAGAGCAAGACGAGCCACGTGAGGTTACAGATAAGATGAAGAGAACCGCTGACTAACGCCTCTCCGGCTAGGCAGGGCGGGGAGGAGGCCAGAGGGCGGGCGGGCGGCCTTGGGGCGTCTCTTTAACTAAGTCTTAACTGGCTTTAACTGGCTTCAACTAACTCTTAACTGAGCTTTACCTGAGCTTTAACTAAGGCTTTAACTAAGCCCAAAGACCAAGGCCTCGCCAAGGCCCAAGGCCCCTGCCATCGCGCCGTCTTCTTCTTCTCTGCTGCTCTTCTCACCGTCCATCCCTCGATGATAATAATAAAATATCCCTTCATCCCTTCTTCTTGTCCTGCGATCCCTCCTCTTAACCTCTCGTAACTGCCCGGAACCTTGGAGAAAAAGCCTGGGCGCCGCTTTGCTGCCTGCTGACTGGCCGCCCGCCCTGGACTCCACTAACGGGGATGAGGCCTAAAGTCACTCTCGGGTGAGCGTCCAGGGGCGAGTGACTCCGGCTGGCTGCCTCTTATACTTACTTAGTTAACGAAGGCCCAGGCAGGTCCTTGATCGGCCGCTGCTTGCTTCTTCCTGCGGCGCCTCGTCTTCTCCGCGGGCTCACGACTGCGACTTGGTTCCTGTACAAACACTGCTATAACTATAGAGAATACTTCAACTGCTCACCCCTTTCTCCAGCGCTCCACTTACCGTATTTAACCTTTGGACTCGGAGATGCTCCAGCGGTTCTTCTGCTCTTCCTTTGCTCTCGTTAGTTATCAAGTGACCGTCCTGCTCTCTCCTCTTTGTCTGGCCGAAGTCGCAGGCTTGCGGTTAGCCGACAGGGCGGCCGGGCCCCTGGACTCACCCCGGTCTCCTTAGTTAGATCCCTATTGTACTTATTTTTATAGCCATATATAACTAGTTATATGCATTTATAGGCGGTTCGAACGCCAACCAAGGGCTTAATGCCATAGTTAACTATGTAACTAGTGATCGAACTCGTCAGCCGGCAGCCGGCAGCCAGGACCAGACTTGACTCACGGCTGCCTCTTGCCCGCTGGCCTTAGCCGTTGAAACCGTATATGCGGGTTTCCCTCGCCCTCTTTGCCTCTTTCGATCGCCTGCTGTCGGCCTTGCTTCGGCTACGGCGGTCTCTTGTCTCTTTTCTGTTCCTTTTTCCTTCGTTATCTTTGCTTCTTTACGCTCATCAAGTTATGCATCTCTCGGCTCAGCTCGAGGATCTCAGCCCAGACATGCATATCTGCCATATCTACCGTATCTACCATGTCTATCAATGTATCAACTCTACCCCCTAAGTTACATCAACTTTGACAAACGGATCTAGAAAAAAGCAAAGAAGGGACTTCATCTTGCCCCACGTTTTGGCTGCTGCGAAGCTAATAACTAACCGGCTAAACGAACTGCTGGCCAACGAAATTGCTATAAAACTCGCTGGAGCAGCTCAACTTCCGGCCGAAGCATTCCCCCGAGCGCTTCCTCGTTTTTTTGCTGCGATCCTCCACTCCCTCGGCGGATGTCATAGACAGGGCGGAAGTCTCTTTTTTACCCCCCCTTTGGTGCTTCTCTGGTGACGTTGTTGCTTACTGATTATCTGCGATCCATCTTAACTAAGTATATATAAGTTCCTCCACCCCGCCAGGCACATCCCCGCTACATAACTAACATTAACATCTACTTACTTGAGGGGAGCCGGGATAGTTGGTGATACTTCAGAGCCACCTCGCCCGCCGCAGCCAGCGTAGTTAGATTTATATTGCTTGCTTCACTTTGGTTCCCTCGACCGGCTGTGGCTTAATATAAAGGACAAAACAATATATTACCGCATACATAACCAAGACAGACCGATGGCCCCCCACGCTGCTGCTGGTGCTGCTGCTGGCACTGCCGGCGATGCGGCTCAGAAGGCCGCCGTCGTCGAAGGGACGCTGACCGTCGCCAACGTCGCCGCCAACAGGACCAGGTGTGCCCTCCCCAAGGGTGTCGCCGCCTTCTCCGACAGTAGCATGTTCAAGAGCGCGGTAAGTCCTCTTCCTCTGTGTCTTGCTTTTTTACGTCGTCGCCCAGTGGGAATAGCCGGCTTACCCGTACACACACCAACAGGCATCAGCGTCACAGCCGAAAGCGAAGAGATGGGACCGTGAGTGATGAGACAGCTGGCAGACACCCTCAAAGGAGCGCTTTTTACTGACTGGCTGGCGTTTTGACGGGACAGGCTACCTTACCGAAGAGAGCAAGCTGCGAAAGGTCCGTCTTGACGTCCATCAAGTAACTCCTCCGTATATTAAATTAGACTGCGGCCACTGACCTCTCTTGCAGCCCTCGACCCTGAAGCAGGTGGCTCTCTACATGGGTCCCAGTAAGTTTTTTTGCCTCGCTCCCATTTAGTTATTTATATGCACAGATTTACGCTTCGAGGATCAAGCTGACGCCAATAATAGATGTGATCTCTCTTGGAGGTGGCCTGCCGTCCCAGGAATACTTCCCCTTCCACGAGATCTCCGTCAAAGCTCCCAGCCCTCGCCAGTTTGCAGACCCGGCCCCGGCTAATCCCGAGTGCGTCTTCTCCTCCACCAAGCATGATGTGGCAGACGGAACGAGCGATTTCGATCTCGAAGTGGCTCTCAACTACGGCCAGTCCGTCGGATACGCTGCTCTCGTGCGATGGATCACCGAACATGTCGAGGTACGGATGATGTCTTCTACCATTTACCTCGAACAACTCTTGAAACTCTTGCTAATAAATAATATGTAACTAGATCGTTCATAACCCTCCGTATGGAGATTGGGAAATCACCATGGCGCCCGGGAGCACGCAGGGATGGGACTTTGTTCTGCGCATGCTCTGCGAGCCCGGCGACATGATTCTCACGGAAGAATACACTTTCTGCTCTGCCATGGAGGGTGCCGCTGCCCAGGGCGTCACCCCCTTCCCCGTCAAGGTCGACGCCGAAGGCCTCCTCGCTACCTCTCTGGACGAAATCCTCACCAATTGGGACCCGGCTGCACACGGCGGTGCTCGCAAGCCAATCGTGCTCTACACCGTCCCTTCCGGCCAGAACCCAACGGGCGCCACACAGAGCGCCGAACGACGCAGGGAAGTCTACAAGGTTGCCCAGAAACACGACATCATCGTCGTCGAGGATGAGCCATACTACTTCCTCCAGATGGAGCCCTACACGGGGCTCAACACACCCACCCCTCCCCCGCCTGCAACCACCGACGAGTTCCTCAAGACCCTCATACCTTCATACCTCAGCATGGACACAGACGGGCGCGTTATCAGACTCGACTCTTTCTCCAAGGTGCTCTCCCCCGGCTCGAGAGTCTCTTTCCTCGTTTCCTCCGCTCAGTTCACAGAACGCATGATCAGACAGGCCGAAACTTCCACCCAGGCTCCTAGCGGAATGGCTCAGATCATACTCTACAAGCTCCTAGACGAGTCATGGGGTCATGAGGGATATCTCAAGTGGCTCATCCACATCCGCATCGAGTACACAAAGCGCAGAAACTGCATCATGGATGCCTGCGAGGAGTTCCTACCCAAGGCCGTGGCGTCCTGCAACCCTCCGACCGCAGGCATGTTCGTAAGTTTTTTCTCCTTTTCCCTCGCCCACCCACCCCCCCTAACCCCTACCCTAATCCCTGTCCCCGTTCCCGTTCTTTGTTGCTTTCCTCTCCTAGGAGCGAACATAAAAGAAAAAAAAAATTACAACACAACAGCAAAAAGGCTAATATCCCTGCAAGAACTGGATGCGGGTTGACTGGAAGAAACACCCTGCCTACCAGCAAGGAAAGGACCACAAGGCTATTGAAGAAATGATTTTCCTGGCCGCCGTCGATGCTGGTGTCCTTGTTTCACGCGGAAGCTGGTTCTTGGCCGACCAGTCGGCTACCGAGGAAGATATGTTCTTCAGGTCGACCTTCGCCGCTGCCCCGGCAGACAAGATCAGGGAAGCCATCAGGCGGTTCGGCGAGGTCCTCAAGGCCCAGTTCAATATCCAGTAGTAGCCAAGACCCCGCTCTTCTTCTATTCGCGATCCTTCAATTTGATGAGGTGAGTACGGAGTAGGTACATAAACTTGTTCCTTCGTTCAATATGGTCCTAGGGCGGCTTGATGTTGTTTAACCAGTTACTCCTGCGGGTTCGTGGTCTATAGACTGTGGCGAGTTAGTTATGCCGTAGATTCCTCCAGGTAGTTGGCCGCTAGCACCCTTCTGCACATGACTTATGAGTAGATTAAACAAAAAAATGAAAAGAAATAAATAAGCCATTCAAACGCAACCCCTTTCTCCCGTCTATATTCTAGAAAAGCTAGGCTTTCGGATGGAACTGTCGCACTGCTTAGTCATCGCGCATAAACACTTTCTCCGCTCTCCGTCGCGTCCCAAACAGGCAAGATCCAACATCATCGTCCAGACGTCAGGCCTCAAGCCCAACCTCGACTCCATCTCAAACTATCTAATTGCGATACCCATTTCCTTCACGCTGTTGACGCTCACTCTGCAGCAATAGATGGCGTTGCGGGGCGTTTTCAGCAGGGAGGTCTTAACAGCCTCCGCTTTCTTAAGCTTACTTTTGCCTTAACGTTTTAATCTTCCCGGTTGATACCCTACTTCCTTTCTTGCTTGCTCGCTGGTCTTTTGACGTTGTGCTCTTTTATTTCATTCGGTTTCATAGGTAAGAATGGAGACATCTGTACTCCTGGACATGCGTATTGGCCCGTTGAGAGACCCTTTCCTTTTGGTAGCTGGATTAGCCGTAGTTTTTGGTGTTCTATACCCATTGTAAAAAAAAAAAAAATCCTTGTTTATTGCATATCTGGGCCCCGGTATACGGTCCTGTCAGGCAATAAATAGAGATATTTAGATATCCTCAACCGTATTGGAAAATGATATATACCCCCTTCCCTCGATATATGGCTACTAACGTTGACATTGTGACAGTTTTCTTTGGTTCTATACTATCCTAGCCAGTGGCAATTCTCGTTATATACCCAATTCACTTCCTCCTACGAACAAAGGGACACATACACCAGGCCTATCCCATACCTTTATTTGTTGCAAAGCATCGACAGCACTCTCTAGTATCTTTCTTGCAAGGCCATCTATCTACCTATCTGGTTGTCCTAAAGTATGTTGATATCCACTACTAAAGGCCCAGGCTGGTCGATCTTGCTTTTGTTGATATCTTTTTTCACGCTAACAAATGGCGCTAATATGAATTTAGATAGGCCCTTATACCATTAGAATCGCCTCTATATAAAAGTCAGACACTGCTTGTCGAGCTTCTATATAAGGGGTTATTTAAGCAGTGAGTCTCTTGTCCTGGAATCTCCCGATCTCCAGCCTAAAGATGGAAGGGACTGTCACATACTGCTACTAGATAATAGTCTAGCGACTTTTAAGACCAGGCAATCCCCATAACTACTCAATACCAGGGGTTTTTTAGATCTATCTTGTGGTGGTAAGCATAGACAATCGACAGGATCTGTCGCAGTCTTGCACTTCTGCAGTTTTGTAGGTACTCCCTCTGTTTTCTTTTCCAGTCACGTTGTCTCCCTGCCTCCCTTCTTCTCCCTCTCTCCCTCTTCTTCTCCGCGCAACATGAAAATATTTCTCTCTTTCTCTCTTTTTCTCCCTTCTTTACACCTTCTTGCCCTTTTCTGGCTCCCTTTTACCAGATCTGTGTACTTTCCTGTTGTTAGCTCTGCCCACGCCATTATATGTGCTGTGTGATACACTAGCTTTGATATTACTCGTCCTATATCAGCTATCGCTGTAGTAGGATGGGTTCTTCCGCTGACGAGAACGCACAAACGCGGGATGCACCCTGGGGGTACACTTTTCTTTTATATCTTTTCACTTCATTTTACTCTCATTATGACCATTGACTAATTTTGGATGCTTATATAGTGATTTTCCAAGTCCCTTACGCGCCCGGGGTTTCACTGGAAGCAGGGAGGACATCCAAGCTGCCAGTGCATATCTCTTCTGCAGCGCTGCAGCGAGACTTCAGAACCTCGATAGGGTTGAGGAGACTGTTACCAATCCAGCTGCTTCTGACTCTGCCTTAGCTCAGGCTCCCAGAACTCAGTACCCTGTTCCGCCACCTCTGAGAGAGCGAGACCTTAACGAAGGGAATCCTGAAGTGACATCTTACCTCCAGTCAGAGAGCTACGAGGAATTTTCTGCTCAGGCCAATCCAGTTGATAACACTCAGTACCTCAGTTCGTTTGAAACTTATCACTCGAACAACTCGCATCTCACTTTTGCATCCGGCCAAGATCGTCACCCCGATCCTAGTCCCAGTACTCCTTTGCCCTCTACTAGGTATGTTTTTTACTGTCATCTCACTGTTATTTTCGCGTTATTCTCTCTAATCCTCGTGTATAGGCTCCCGGAGGAGACCACTGTTCCTCAGAACACTCCAACTTCTCATCATCATCAGCCCAACCGGGTAGTGGACCCAACGCCTGTCAGGGAGACCTACCGTGCATTCCCTCGGCCTCGCGAGCCCCAGGTACAAACTTCCTCAACCCACAAGTTTGACCCCCATTCGCGTCCTTTTCCCCTTAGACGCGTCTGCACGACAGAAAACTACCACTATCACGAGGCCCAGCCTGTAAAGTCTTCCAGATATCGGCAATACCCACGACCTCAACGCCTCTACACCCGTGGCGAATTTCAAGCGAGGACTAGAGAGCTTCTGAAACACGACACCACTCCAGGCGGTTTCAACGATTTCGACCCCGATTTCTCGAACCGCAAACCAGCAGGAACGTCGACTCTCAAACAAGTTCGCTCGTTCCCCGATCCACGTTCTCTTACCGACCCTTTACCAAAGTCAGGTCGCGACTTCGAACCTAATAGCAGACAGCGTTCATCCACCGCAACCAAGAGATCCCAACCTCATCCACCTAAAAACAAACCATACGAGTTCAAGACTGACTCATTTCCTCAACCACATCATTTCTCAACCCTCAACCCCAAATCTCCATATAACCCCTTGAACTTCATCCCTGGTGGGGTCAACTCGTCTGGCTATCTTTATCTCCCAAGCCCTGCAAGCCAACCGGCTGCGCGACCCGAGCCGGATCCAGCCCCACCAGCCGACGTTCCAGCCGAACCTCGAGCATTCCACGCCCAGGGCGACTTTGACTTCCCTTTCAATAAGCCTTGTTCTGCTGAGCCAGCACCTGACACTTGTCCAGCTCCTCCTCGCCCTACCTTTCGTCTTGAACTCCCTTCTGCTCAGGAGATCAAAGATCGGAAGCGAAAGAAAAGCGGAGCTCGGAGATTTACTTCCTCTCTTAAGAAGTTGTTTTTCCGCAAAACCAAGTCAGAGTCGGAAAATACCACCGCTGCTCCTGGTCAGGCCAACGCAGACTATTCACTTGCACCACAAGCTGAAGACACTTCCAAGGGCCGTCCTTCTGCAACCCGGCTTGGGCGATTTAGAGAAGAACTGGGTGAAGCTGATTCTACACAGGCTGCCCAACTTGAAGAACAGCTCAAGGGCGTTGATTCAGCGCAGGCTGAACGCTTTAAAGAACAGCTCAGAAAGCCGTTCATTACAGTCACTGTTGATCCACCACCTGAGAACGACAGCACACCCCCACGGGATACGCCCAACATGTTTTCTACAGGTCATCTTGACCCTTCGTCGGCCGTTATGGCCATCACCAAGCAGAAAGCGGAGGCCATGCGACTTGCCCGAGAGCAAGGCTTTATTGTCCGAGAGATGTGCCGTCGGGCAAAGACAGATGTTCCTCCATATACTTTTGAAGAATTGATTGGAAAGGGTTCCTATGGTCGTGTCTATAAAGGGTTTGTATTCATCATCTTCATTACTGTGTGCATAATGAATTACTAACAACAATGAGTAGCCACCATGCTCTAACTAAATCTGTGGTCGCCATCAAGGTCATGGATATTGATAACCTTGACTACGAAACTACCAGAGACTTTAAAGATGAATCTATCAAAGATTTTATCCATGAAACAAAGGTCATGTCTCAGGTAAAGGAAGCAGGCGCGAAGAACATTAACATCTTCATCGAGGCAGTTTCAATACACTCTCAACTCTGGCTTGTTAGCGAGTATTGCCCAGGCGGAAGCATCAAAACCCTGGTAAGTTAGCCGACACAACCCCTACCTCATTTATATTCTAATTCCCTGTTCAATAGATGCGTGCAACTGGTGATAAGTTGGAGGAGAAGTTCATTATTCCCATTGCTCGAGAGGTAGCTGTGGGTCTGAAGGCGATCCATGACGCTGGTATCATACACCGAGACGTCAAAGGTAATTGTGACCTGGATATTTTATGTTCGTTCTGCCCATCGCTAACTTATCTGGCAAATAGCTGGCAACATTTTAATCCATGAAGAAGGCAATATCCAAATCTGTGACTTTGGAGTTGCAGGAGTTCTCCAAAGCCAGCGTGACAAACGTTCGACCTGGATTGGCACCCCCCATTGGATGCCACCAGAGCTGTTCCCAAACAAGCCCGGTGATGAAGTTCATCCTTACGGCAACGAGGTTTGCTATCACCTGATGTACCTTTTTTGGATATTATATTAATGAGCTGGTTCTAGATTGATGTTTGGGCGTATGGTTGTACTCTTTTCGAATGCGCCACAGGCAACCCACCCAACGCTACCTTAAGAGAGAGAATGCAGATCGGCCGCCAACTTAACCGCTTCACACCGCGGCTCGATGGAGAGAACTACTCAGAAGAATTATGTGGGATTGTATCTTACGCGTTAGATGCAGATCCAAGAAGCAGACCTGCCATGGGAGACATCCTAAATCATCCCTACATCGCTGGTTCTGAACAGTCTCATCCTACTGAAGGGTTGAGAGAACTGGTAAAGATTTATTACCAGTGGTCCCAGCGTGGAGGCCAGCGTATCTCGCTTTTCAATCCTGGAGGTGCGGTTGCAGCCGAAATGCCTGGAGCTAGAGGGCCGTTAGATGATGAAGCCTGGAACTTCAGCACCACTGAAGGATTTGAAAAGAGATTCTCGATCATTGATTTGGACCAGATATCTGCTTCACTTGCAGCCCTGGAAAACGAACAGTCTCTAGAGCCGAATTATACCTCCTTCGATCAATTTAACATGGAACCCGAAGAAAGAGAACTCACAGCAGAGGAAAAAGTTAACTTTGATGAGAGAGTCAAGAGAGGCGCTGCCGCTATGGAGGGATTATTCGACGAAGCGAAGCCGAAGTACAAGTACGAAACCAAGAATGACTTCGTGCCTATTGAGCAAGCGCGCAAATTCAATGACTTGCCATTGAGAACTGATACGGATAGATCTTCCGTCGCCTCTACGTTTATTGACATTAACCTTGGAGTCTATGACTCTTCTCATTATGCATCTGCTTCAGGATCTGCCAATCCTCCATTTCAGCTAGCTGATGCCGACACGATTCGTGCTAACCGATCTAGCAGCCGATCGTACCGTGCCTCGTCAAGCGCAGGTAGCGAGCCGCATGACGAATTCCCGCAAAACCGTGGCCCTCGTCCTCCGACAATGGATTGGAAGTTCCCAACTACAGCTACAAGCATTGAAGAGTCCGAAAGCCCTAATCTAGCTGATGATGAGATTGCTCCACATGATGCCGAGCCTCTTGAGTCGCGAGAGGAGAAGCGAGATACCAGAGCTTGGACATTCCCTGTGATGACCGCCGAAGAAGATGGACCAGGGGACGAACCCATTGATGAGACAGCCCATGTGGAAACTCCTGGTGCATGGAGCTCTGATAATGAAAGCACAACTGCTCAGGCAATGTTTCCACTCCAACATTCACCTTCTGTTCTCAGTAGAGCCATCGGCAAATCCGACGCCCTCCCAATGGCGAAATCTCCGGATCACCACGCGCTTGCCTCCGAATCGCGCCCATCTACTGCAGAGTCAAAGCAATCCTCCGTCTCTGATGCAGACTATAACCCATTCAGACTAGATAGAGAGGGTTCAGTCAGCGGCCCTTCAACTACTACCCAAAGACGAGGTTTAGCAAAAGCCCCCCCGATCAGAGAGCCAGGCTATCCTTATTTCCCTCAAGACGACGAGTATGGTAATAGCCTCTCTAGATCTAATATAGCGAACGGCTTTGACGAGCACCATGTTAGCAGCTTGCCAGAAAGCGAGACTCTCAGAAATGGAAGTGTTACAGCAGCACCCCTTTCCCGCTCTGACAGTTCATCTATGTACTCCCAGAACGGCAATAGCAACGGCAATATTAGAGGGTCACTTAATGCTACACCGGCAGCAGAGAACAGCAGTTTAACCCAATTCCCTGAATTAAAACCTCCAAGCATCGAGAGTCTGACAGAGGGCGCTAGCGATGAGGTGGTTACTGCAGAACTCGACAGGTTGTTTGGAGAACTCATGCACGGACTTGCTGCTACGGGTGAGGCAATCCAGTCCACGGACTCTGCCAAAGCGGCAGAGAGTGATGTGCGACCAGGAACACCATGAAATTGAAGAAAAAAATAAAAAAAAAAAAAAAAAAAAATGAACACGGAAAATGTCAAGGCGCGAAAAAGTTATGAGGGAGTACTGGAAATCATGGTTTTGTTATGGATATCCTGTTGGGTGGGGATGGGTTGGGTGGACTATCGAAATTTATCGTTCTTCTTTTTAATTTCATTCCCAACTTTACCCCTTGGTTCGAAACATAACCTCACTACGCGCTAATAGTAGATGCCGCATTTTTATTCTTCCCCTGTATACCACCGACCCTATTAATATGGCCGTGGCGGTTTCATCTTAAGGATCTTGATGAAATAAGCCAATTGATGGACACAGGCGATATGTGACGAGTCGATGATTGGATGCCTGGAGCTTGATACTAGAAGAAAAAACAAAAGCAAAGGCCCTAGCAAATCTGTGATATGCTTTTCTTCTGCTCAATCAATCAATCAATATATATATATATATTCAATTGTGGCCACTGGCCTGAGCTTACGTAAGTCAGGAGTCCTTCGACTTCGGCTTCCAAACGACCATCGAAACTGTTAATACCAACTTCCCATCAACAACAACGTCGAGGTCATAGTTACTCCGTAATCGTTATGTCATAAAGAACAGCGAGATACACCACAGAGGACGTTTCGTGTGGCATCGACCGGACAGGTGCAACGTGGACGCCCCTCGGGTATACAGGTGCGTGCTTGGGCCGTGTCTTGTCTGCCTAATAGTTCAGTGTTCTCGTGTCTGTGGCTGTGAGAGTGAAAGCGTTGTGCAACTCTGGCGGGCTATCGGAGCCAGTTTATACCAGTCCACAGAGCAACGGAGCTCGATGATAAAATATATAAAAACTACGAAACTGATCGTCATTGTGATTTATTCCCTTGGTCTCCCGGACACATCGAGTTATGGTTGAGGCTCGTTCAACTCTTAATATGTTCAATATCAGATTAGTTAAACGGGCCTCGCTCAAACGCTCGGATGTCGACCCGAGATCGAGATCGGTCTCTATATTTCCTGTGATTCTCTTCTTTTCTTTTCTTATTTTGCCCCCTTTTTGCTTTTAAGGTCAAAGCCACTCGCTATTTGACTGGATTACGATATCTCATAACTACCCGACGAGTCATTTGACGTGTTGTATATCTTGGCCGGAAGGCAATCTATCCCGCTATGGATCATCGTTTTATATAACTTCATCTATACCCACGTTCGATTTTGGGACGACATTTGGATATGAATCTTGTTTCTAGTGGTTTTTGTGTAGAGAGGGTGTGAGACCGTATAGACGTTGATGTTAGGCTCAAACATATAGAAATACTATATGTTCGAACTAAGAAAACATAGAGCTTTTTTTTTACCTTTTTTTGGCCATTACCGTTTGTTATCCTGCATTGTTTACTGTTTACTTCAGTTGACGGGAAAAGGCGCGCTATTCTGGGTCTTTGATCAGGCGTCGCGACCTACTTCGAAACCTTTCCGAGTCAACTCTCGATCCATGACTTCAAACTCCCATTCTTTTCTTTCCCCGTCAGCATTATGAATGAAGGAACGTTCTCAGTTAATTACCATCCATCTCTAGATTTTTATTGATTCCTTGGCCTTTTTATTCATTTCTAAAGACTTAAGACTACATCATGTCGGTTGGAATTTGGACCCCTCCTTCTCCAAAGACTCGAACAACTACGAGGATACTCTCGAACCCGAGCGAGCAATGGAAGCTTTCTCTTCAGGAAGTCAAGTTGCTTCATCTAAGATGCCGTTACAAGCAATGTGCTGCGCGTTCCATGGAGGTTTTGACCAAATACGAAGACCAGGTTTGTAGCACTCTCATGAACTACCCTCTAGACCTACCCTGCAGGAATCAAAGCTAATCAAGCAAACGGTCAACCCAGCTCCATAAAATCCATGAAGCATACTTCCAATACTACATTGCAGCATCATACGAAAACCTAGGACGAACCTCCCACAACTTTTCTGGGAATAAGATTCCCCTTTTACGAATTGCCATGGATAGTTTCATAGCTTGCAAATCTTCATTGGAAAGTGCCTTTACAGATCCCGCGCGTACCGAGGAGCTAGAGCCATTTCCTGATTTTAACAATGCGGTTGGTCGATACCCTGAATGCGAGCCTTATGTTGGCAGTCAAGGATATATATTTTACCAGATTGCACGGGAGAACTCACGTCCCCCCGCTCTTTTCCAGGTCCGATGTTGTGATGAACCAAGTTTGGCAGGGACCCAACCCCGCGCAAAGAGAGGAATGAGGCAATGCATCGATGTCAAGGCTGATCTGATTCCTCAGCCACTTCAGATCCGCAAGAATCGCAAGGATATCATGCCGCAGTACAACCAGGCTTTCAAAAAGCCTTTTGCTACTACATCTGGAAGGCCTCTCCCTGAGCCTCCCATCTCTATCTCCGTCAGTCCTGCACCAGAAGCTATCAACGGCACTGCAGCCTTCACACCACCACCAACTCCAAAATTCATGGATAGCTTTCCAGAAGAATTAGAGAGTAAGGAGAAACCGACACCACGTATGATGAGCCTGATTGCCTCACTTTCCTCTCAGATAGATGAGAATGTCAGGGAACTGTCAATGCTTATCAGCAGAACAATGGAACTCCAACGTATCCATAAAGCTCGGAAGATGAATCGTCTGGCTTCCTACTGGAGTTTCACACCTACGTATCCTAATGGGCCGTCTACCATCAATGGAGATACCGAGGTAAATGATGCACAGCTTGACCAGTGCACCAATGGACGGGCTAATGGACAATCTACACTTTCTAGTGAAGGGAAACAGCAGCGTATTGCGCGTCTGAGAGCCGAAGGATGGAACACGGTTGGTATCAAATCGATTGAACGCGGTTGGAAGGGAACGCTCCACTATGATAGACTCTGCAGTGAAGCACTTTCGGAGCTATATGAGTCCTAGTCGAGGATCCAAGCTTGTCTCTTCTTATTTTTTTTTTTTTTTTTTTTTTTTTTTTTGTGTTGTATGGGTATGAGGATCATTTTCTCCGGTATTTATTATTTGGCATCGTGGTTTATGGTTTATGGTTTATTATGGTCATGGCGTCCTGGTGGTGGTGTTACCATATCTTTAGGCAGAGGAAGCATGGGAAGGGGGTTGGCTATGAGCATACTTATCACTTACACGTTTCTATTACTCCCAACAGGCAGCTAATGAAACCAATTGAAGCAAGGAATTATCTTTTAAGACCTCGTTAAAAGCTGGGGAAATATTTTCTTTCCGCCCTTAAAAAAACTAAACAAAAAGAAAGCGCACCAGGAGGTAATCACAACACCAAGAAGCCACGAAAATAGACAAACATACGGAGTATTATGAACACCAAACCACACGGCTCTTTGAGCCTTGGAGTAGGCCATTCCATTGCCCATATATCCAAGGCGGCGTGATTAAAGATTAACCAGCCATTATTCTCGTTAGTTTACTTCCTTTTATCCTTCTCTATTTTCTCTAGGGCTTCCTTTTCGACTTGTTGTTGTTGCTCCTGCTGCTTCATCTCCCGGACCTTGGCGAGGACTACCTCTCTGAATATAGCGCCCCGTGCAAGTCTGCTGAGACGACCCTTGTTAGCCGGTGCCGCACCCTCGGACGGCTTGACATCCGCAGCAGGCTTATCCTCAGCCTTCTTTTCCTCAGCTTCATCAAGAGTGGTGCCGGGGATATCGTCGCCTTCATCTTGCATCTTCAAGGCCTCAATGCGGTTGGCAAGCTTGATAATTTCGATTCCGCGCTTCAGCCTGTTACGAGCAATGTAGGTCTTGAGTTCAGGAAGAATGTTGTGATCAGTGGCTGTTTCACCCTTGAGCCATCTGTGTTGTAGAGCTTGTTCGCTAGTTGATCTGAGAGTTGGGTCTGGCTGGAGGAGAGTGAGGATGAAGTCCTTTGCGTCCTTGGAGACATCCTTCCAGTATCTTTCGTGGAAGACAATGCGGCCCGATCGACACTCTTCGATCAGGTCATTGAGAGACTCCGACCGGAAAGGGGAGTAACCGCAGAGAAGCGTGTATGTGATGACGCCCATAGACCACATGTCGACGGCCTTACCGTGGCCCTGTTTTAACATGACTTCTGGAGCAGCATATCCAAACGAACCGGCCATGGATGTGAGTACTTCTGTGTCGCTGTCAAGCATCTTCGCGATACCAAAATCCGCTAGGACTAAGGGAGATTCTTGTGCAGTAGTGAGATATAGAAGGTTCTCCGGCTTCAAATCTGTTAAATATCAGTAACTGCTACAAAATGGGGGTTGGTCCTTTGCATACCTCGGTGAACCACGTTGCGCTCATGGAGATAATTGACGGCATCTAGGACCTGTCGGATCGTTTGTGAAGCATCCTTCTCGGTAAATCGTCCGTAATCGCAGATTCTGTCAAAGAGCTCACCACCAGTGGCTAGCTGAGTGACGATGTAGTATTTGTCCTGGCACGCGGTTAGACTAGCAGATCAACCCGCCGAGGAGTTCAAGAAGTGCGCACCTTTGACTCAAACCAGTCATGGAATCTGACTATATTAGGATGGTGAAGTCGCTGTAACATGTCCAACTCATCGTACACCATCTGCTCGTTTCCCTTCACGTTCTTCTTAAGAATAATCTTTACGGCAACCTTGCCGTTGGGGCTGTCTGCCTCCCGAACAATGCCATATGTCCCTGCACCAAGTGTCTTTCCAAACCGATACTGTGCTCTAAGGGAGATATATGTAAGCCGTGAAATTCTGCGTCATCCTGCCAGTAAACGCTGGCAGTAGACGGTGACTTATGCGTACTTTTTATCGTAACTCTCTGGCTGCCCTTGCAGCTTGTTCAGCATGTTCGTGACTAGACGCAGCGGGGAAAAGGAGAATATGTCAGCTCTCATCCTCAATTGCGACAAGTAACAGCTACCTCGAGCATCATCGGCAGACAGACAGACAATGTTGACAATGATATTGGCGTCTGCGATGAAACAGGAGGGACCGCAGTACAGCAAACGAAACCAGGCCGGCTGCTCGAGAGGCCTGTACCCCTCATCAAGGCGCCTTAGCAGACCAAGGGGGGGGATGACGGGGCGAGAGTCGCGTAAGACTTACAACTCATCTTGCAGGTAGACTGTCAGCCACCGCTTGTTATTCTATCGGTCGGTCGTCAGAGTCGTGGAGGGTGTGGTCGGGGAGAGAATGTTGCAGGTGGTTGTTAGACGTTGAAGAAGAGGGGCGGCGCTGCTGCTAGTTAACTAGTTAGTTATAGCGAGTAACAAATATTCCTCGGAATCCGTTTGATAACTAACTGGTTAGCTAAACCAACGGTCTCGATCGAAAAAGAAAGTAAAATCCGCCCTTCAGCCTGGTGACGAGCAGGGTTGGCGCTGCGATATGCCTGTATTGTGAAGGTTGATGGTGTCGTTCAATCACCACCAACGCTGACGATGATAACGAGCCAACTAAGATACGAGAAGCGCCACAACGCAGCTCCATAAGCTCAGCCACAGCGGGAGCTGACGCCGCCGAGTACATGCTTAGCATATACCAAACGCTGTGCTGATGTGCCGCTGTTAGCGAAGCCAATGTCTGCGGTTGCTCCCAACTTGCTCCCAACCTGCTCCGTCTTAACTTGAATATGGAGTTGCTATTAACAAACAATACTTGATGCAGAAGATTTGAACAAAGCCCGGGTTGGTTGCATCCTTCAGACTCATTGGATAACTTCCTAGCGGTCAGTTAGGAGATGTTCAAGAGTTGACTTCGTGAAAGAGCAGGTTTTCGATGTATATATATAATGATTTGATTGATTTTATTGCCGGTTTCCAGGGGTCATGCTGTGATGAACCCAGCCCACATAGGCCGTGTTACTTTGGCCGTGTATGTCTAGTATCACCTTTGCAACATATAGATTTAGTATTGACAACTTGCCAAAATACCATCCTCTCATGCATTTTATATTAACTTAATATTAATCTGCTGCGTATTAATTTAGTTGAACGCCTTTATAGACCAGGTTGAGGCTACCTGTTCAGACCTTCCGACCACAATGATGTGTTGACGTCTGCGGTCGACTATAACCAGCAAGGGCTGCCAGTAGGCAATTTGCTGACTTTCAAAGGGCACTTAATATCTTACTGAAACACTCATCTGGATCTTTTTGCAAACCAGAAAAAAGACCATACTAACTTCTACCGTAACGTAGTAATGCATCTTGGATGCTATGCTTCGAGCTTACCGAGAGGCCGATACATGGTCAACTGTACATTCGTATGAGCTTATTCCAGAAATTCGAATACTGAGCTGCTGAGAAAATCAACACATGTGGTAGCACAGCCAAAGACTTGACTTGGAGAGAACTGCTGGATATGAATTACCAAAGGGGCAGCCTAGTATTAGGAGTCTTTATCGGGCAGGTTCAAGTCAGGCTACATTTCCACGACGGCAAATTAAGTTGTATATTGCCGGAGGTTGATCAATAGTTTAAACGTATTTGCATTTTCATCGGGGTATATGCGAGTTGTGCGCCGGAATGCGGGTGTGGCTCCTGGGAATCATGGCCCTGGTGCTGGCCGAACGTAACTGCGTAAATGCATGGCATGATAACCTAAGGACTAGGAGTATAACTTATATATTCTGGCATTAGTTACGGATGAGATATATGTGTTTTCAGAGAAACCGAAATATAAGAATTGACGCCGATGTTGAAGCGACGTTGAAAACAACCTTCAACGCTCGAAATATTAAAATGCACGGCCCACCGGCTGGATCAAGTCAGGTGACCTACCTCAAACAACACCGGAATATCTATTATACTCTCCGAACAAAGTTATTACATAATCACAACAGCCCAAACCTTATCAAGAAAGTTTATTTAGAAGATTTTCTCGACAAAAAAAAATATTATGTTTAACTTTTGATAAAGATGAAAGCACGACAATGCTTCGCATTTAAGGAGTCATTGTAATCAAGGCAATCATGTTTGCTGCTCCAGGGTGGTCTGTCTCTTCTTCGGAGCTTAAGCTTCAGACGGAGACACCAGCAGCAAAAGATGTGTCCAAGTCTCGGGATACTGATGGCTCGTCCAAGAAACGGAAGAGAGCGCCTGGTACAGATGACGATGGCGGAAAGGTCACAAAATCAAACGTGAACGAGATGTGGAAGAGATACATTGAAGGGGAAATACCAAAGCAAAAGAAACCACGGCCGGAGAAGAAAGTAGCTCAGCCAGTTCAAGGGAAACAGAAGAAGGGAGAAGGCGATGGAAATATAAAATCTGATATACCAGCCTCAAAGGGCAGCAAGAAAGCTAAAAAGTCGAAGAAGGATAAAACATCTAAAAAGGAGCAACAAACAGGGAGCAATATGACACCATTAGGTACCCGCGAACCAAGTACGGCTTCGCCTACCATGACTTCCTCGCTTCCACCACCACCTCCTCCTTTGCCAGAAAATTCGAAACTTACTCCACTTCAGCAGTCTATGCGGCAGAAATTGATTTCAGCTAGATTCCGTCATCTCAATGAAACTCTTTATACAACGCCATCCACTGAGGCAATGGAACTATTCACGAATAACCCTGAAATGTTCGCCGAATATCACGCTGGTTTCTCACGCCAGGTTAAAGAGTCGTGGCCGTCTAACCCCGTGGATGAATACATTGAACTGGTCCAAACCCGAGGCGAAGTTCGTCCCCAGCATAAACGACAGGGGAAGAAACCAGCTCAAAGCAGCTCCAGCCTTCAACCTCTTCCAAGGAAGGCCCAGGGCCTCTGCACCATTGCTGACATGGGATGTGGTGATGCTCAGTTCGCCCGGGCTCTTTCATCTTCCAAAAAGGCAATGAAACTCAAGATCCATAGCTTTGACTTGCACGCCCCCGATTCCGTGATCACCAAAGCTGACATCGCCAATGTGCCACTCGAAGATGGCAAGGTGGATGTTGTTATATTCTGCCTAAGTCTGATGGGAACTAATTGGGTATCATTTGTTGAGGAAGCGTGGCGTATACTTAGAAGTGATGGCTTGGGTGAATGCTGGGTCAGTGAGGTAAAAAGCCGATTTGGAAAGCCAAATAAGCAAAAATCGGCCAGAGGATCCATTGGCAAAGTTAAGAAGGACAAGTCTAAGAAGAAACAGAAAGGCGATGAGGAGGAGGAAGATGCTGGGGAAGATATATTCGCGGAGGATCAGGTCAAAAAAGCGGATGATGACGATCAAACAGATATCTCAGCCTTTGTGGAAGTCTTTGCTTCGAGAGGGTTCGTTCTGAAGCAGGAGAGCGTTGACAAGTCCAACAAGATGTTTGTGAAAATGGAGTTTACTAAATATGGGGAGCCGAAGAAGGGCAAGTGGGCGAATCCAAACGGCCATGTCGAAAAGAAAATACCGTACAAGAAATGGGGTGCTGCATCAATTCCGAGTGATACGGGGATGACAGCGGAGGAGGAGAGTAAGGTGTTGAAGCCGTGTGTCTATAAATTACGATAGTATATATAATTACAACTTCCGAATATTGGTAATCATAAGGAAGATTTTGGGGTATATCTATTGTTTCTACTTGGTCCGGTTGAGTTGCGTAAACGTTATGGCCTTGTAAAATCTATGGGATTTCTTGATAGCGACATTAATCAACCCAGGCCGATGCAGCATTCAAGCCCCATACTAATTACTCCCCAAGGTAGATACAACTCGCCCCATGTCCTCATCGCTATAGATCTGGAAGCCTTTCTCTTTTGTGACGCTAGCAAGTTGAACGTTCTTCTCGTCGAGCTTCTCTTCCATGACCTGTTTCAGCGTCTTGAGAACCAGAGTCTCGGCCTCAGCTAGTGTCAACGAGCGATGATATTCGTTTTGTAGTTCGGCTTGTGCCCCCTCACTTCCGGATCCTATAGCCTTTGCATCATAACGGTAGAACGTGCCAGATGGCTCAGCATGGTACCTATGAAAGAATAACTAAGTTAGCAACCGAACTATGGCTTGCGATGAAATGGTGCTAACACGTACAACTGCGGGCCATCCTCGTCGTATCCAGCAATCAACAAAGCCACTCCGAATGGCCTGCTCATTATACTCTCTTCGCCATCAGCACCCTCTCCAAACCGAAGGGCAAGGTCACATATTGCCTGAGTACAGCTCTCGACTCTTAGCGGCTCTGAATAATGGAATCGATGGTTTTGTGTCTCCACTCGTGCGTGTTCAACCATTGACCTAGCATCAGCTTGCAGGCCGGACATCGCACATCCTATGTGTTGGTCTATCTCAACGATCTTCTCAACCGACGAGGTCTCCAACAGAGTGGAGGTGACTCGCTTTTCAACACCCAGAACGACACCCTCAGAAGTAGCAACCTAGTTCATGGTAACAATAGCATGTTAGAGAAAAATCACGCAGAGCTTTCTTTCGGACGAGGATAATTGCGGATAGCATCACGTACTCCGATGGCAGTAGAACCTAGTTTTATAGCTTCGAGAGAGTACTCTACTTGGAAAAGACGGCCTTCTGGCGAGAAGGTGCTGTATGTAGCTTGTATAAGCAATCATGCGCTCGAATCAAACGGTCAATCTCATCATGATATACTTACTTGATTCCACGATCTGGAGGGGTGGTCGGTTAGCACACGGTACTATGCTGGAGGGACTATAAAAGCGGCACTCACCATACTCGGACCGTGCGATAAACATGATGATGTAGATGCTACTCTGAACGAGTGTTCAGTAGATCGGCTGTCGATATAGCAGGAGTTACCCTTGAGCGCAGCTTGGGAAGTGCTCGTCTGGAGCTGTCTGTAATGCCCGATGTTGTTGATCTCGGCGGTTGAGCTCGTCCGCCTTCTTGCTGCTGCCTTTCTTTGGTCCACGCAAACAGAAGAAGTGCCTGGGCAGGCCGCGCTAAACCCAAACGGGAGCTCCATCAGCATCATAACTAGAAACGCGGTTTTGGGCGATGGTCGCTCATATCAAACTCCTTGCGAACAGGTCCTCGTTCTCAAGCAGTCAGGTTCACGCCGGGTTACGTCTTTTTAATGACTTATGATTATGAATTCCCCGTCCTCCGCAAAGTCAAGGGTGGCACAAGAGCGCGCTGCAAGCTATAGCAACCCTCTCAGCAGGCCTGGAGTCCCCTCCACCCGCGCTCATGGAAGAGCAACATCCAGACAGGAATCACCATTTTCACGAGAGACCACCCCAGTAGCCGAAGGCCGGCCTACTATAAAATCCATAAATAAGAGTCATGTCACTTCCAGCGAAGTGCGCACGGAAAGAACTAGCGTAGTGACCAGGGAGAAGATGCAGAGCAAGCAACGATCTGCCAAAGAGAATATTGCGCCAGGGAGTCCAAGGGACTGGGACAAGAGTCGCATGAATAGGGACCAGCATAGAAGCAATTCAATAGCTATGGTGACTGAAAAACCTCAGGTTGACGGTTTGTTCGCACACCATGATCCATCCAATTTTCATCCACCAGTTACTAACTGATCAATTATCCCAGTGCCTTGGAATCCAACGGTCTCCCTTATACCTCATTCTACCGCGCCGCTTGCCAGTCGAGTTTCCATCCCACCTTTGTTCTTAGATTTACCGAAGGTGCTACGCCCAGGATCACTTCGAGATCTCTCTTTAGATGCGCAGGAATCAGCAATTCTACAAGACTTGCTATTTGTGTTTATGGGATATGAAGGCCAGTACATACACTACGCCAATGCATACAACCCGTCTGTAGAGACAGATCGCTTGGTAGGGCCCTCGTTTCAAATAACTCCAGGACTTGATCCAAGTTTGAGAGACCTAACGATTGCAATGTTGAAAATGGCGACGCACTACAGCGCAATGGAGGCATTTGTAGAAGTGCAAAGCAGATCGGAATTTGGTGCTGTCAATCATGCGCTATGCGCAGCAATACGGAAACTTCTCAAAGATTATTTGATTATGGTGGCTCAGTTAGAGACTCAGTATATCAATAACCCGAACTTCACGCTGCATGTCATGCACCTCCATACAATGCCTACCAGCCAGACCCTTGCCCAGCTGTACTCTCTCGGACAGGAACTGTTGAAGAAGAATTCGCTATTGGCTCAAGATCCAGATGAGTCAATTGACGATTTTGATGATGTTGATAATATCCTAGAACAGCCTCGTGAGGGAGGGGAGCTGGCTCCGGGAAGCATGTCTAAGAAACTTTGCAAAGGTGGTAATGTGCTCGGTCTCATTAGCCAGCGCCTGGCTACGTTCTCAGGGGACCCGGCTACCGGTGTATTACTTCAAACATTGCTACGAGAAGCCAGTCGGCCATACATGGCCATGTTGAATGAGTGGTTGCACCACGGTGGGATAAGAGATCCTCACGCTGAATTTCTTGTCAAAGAGCAAAAGGGTATCAAGCGTGATAAGCTTGAAGAGGATTATACCGATGAATACTGGGAAAAACGATATACTATTCGTGATCACGAGGTCCCTCCTCAGCTGGATGCTGTTAGGGACAAAGTTCTGTTGGCTGGCAAATACCTGAATGTCGTCAGAGAATGTGGTGGTGTCGATATCAGCAAGGAAGTAAAGGATGTTCCCAAAACATTTGACGACCCACGCTTCCTCGATAATATAAATGGAGCATATGCGCACGCAAATGCATCACTTTTACATCTTCTCTTAACGAAGAACTCTCTAACAACCCGTTTTCGCTCCTTGAAACATTATTTCTTTCTGGATCGTTCTGATTTCTTCTCATATTTCCTTGAACTTGGTGCCTCCGAGCTTCGGAAGCCTGCGAAACATGTTAACGAAGGGAAGCTTCAGTCTCTTCTCGATATAGTACTGCGGCAGCCGGGAAGCATTGCTGCTCAGGACCCATTCAAAGAGGATGTGAAAGTCAGAATGAATCAAATGGGCTTGACAAAGTGGTTGATGCGTGTCGTGAGTGTATCTGGAATTGACCAGGATAACCCTGAGGGGGGTATGGAAAAGTACCAAACTCCGGCCCCTCAATCATCTGAGAACGAGAAGGACATCATTGGATTCGACGCCCTCGAACTCGACTATCTCGTCCCATTTCCTCTTTCGCTAGTGATCAGCCGCAAAACCGTTCTCCGGTATCAACTTGTCTTCCGACACCTTCTATCCCTGAGACACCTTGAGACGTTACTTGTTAACTCCTGGCAAGAGCATAGTAAATCTACCAGCTGGAAACACAAATCCTCGGACCGCAAAGTTGAACTTTGGAAAAGGAGGGCATGGACACTTCGTGCCAAGATGCTTGTGTTTGTACAGCAGCTTCTCTACTTTTGCACTGTAGAGGTGATGGAACCCAATTGGCAAATATTGATGAACAGGGTTAATGGTGATGGCACTGAGGCGACTGAAGTGACAGTAAATGGGACGAAACAAGTCAACAGAACTGTGGATGAGTTAATGCAGGACCATGTCGACTTTCTTGATACATGTTTAAAGGAATGCATGCTTACTCAGGGGAAGCTTTTAAAGGTAACATCACAGGCACCCACAGCATAACCCGTACTAAATGCTAACTTACAACTGTTCTAGATTCATTCCAAACTCATGACATGTTGCACAATGTTTGCGTCCTGGTCTGCGTCCTCATTGACTCGCAGCTTGGCCTCGGCAGATCCAGATTTGTCAGGGTCAGTAGATTCATCCAAAGCTTATGACCCCTTAAGGCTTGCCAAACTAGAGGACACTCTTAAGCGATATGAGGATCATTTCAGCCGGCATCTACGAATTCTGATGGACAGGTAAGGCTATACAATCTCCACTGGAACGTTCGATGCATCAGCTAACCTTGAACTTAGTCTCAACTACTTCGCTGCTACAGAGAGTGTAGTGCTACTGAAGCTTGCTCACTCTCTAAGTGCAATAGGGAACGAGGAGTGATGGATTTTATGACTTATGGAGAGTTTGCAACAATTTTCGGCTCGCACTATGCCGAATCCGAATCCGGCTTGCTCTGATTTTAGAGGACCAGAGGCTAAATATAAATAATGCCTTCAAGTCCATTGATGGACACATGGCAAAATAATCAGGCAGATGACCAGTCCCTTCGCGGCCGCCAGAACTTTGTTTATCTAAATAAATGCTGTCCTGGCTTAGGGATAGAGGAGGGAGCTCACCCGGAGTCAACTCACTGCCGAAGTTATTGGGAGATGGCCTTGACCGGCCGTGATGATATAGCCATGCCATGATGGGAACAGTAGGATCTGATATCGGCCGAATTCTTGATCATTCATGATGGACAAAGCAGCTAAATCAAAGGATATCAAAGAAGTTTATACCGTAGAATATATAATAAACGCCTCAAACTCCAATAAGAAACAATAACGAAGCAAAGGACTTCGATTATCATTTCAAATCATGCTTTCTCCTTTTTTGAGCGTTTCTTAACCTTTACTTTCGCCTCCGCGTCATCTTCAATCTTCCTTTCTTCACCCTCCTCAAGCCGTTTCCGCTTCTTCTTTTTCTTCTCCCCTGTATCCTCCTTTGGTGGTATGAAATCTTTCTCCTGCTCCTTCATCTTCTCCACCCTCTTTTCCCTCTGTTTTTCCATAATCTCCTCCTTTCGGGCTCTCTCCTTGGCTTGTTTACTAAGGAAATATTCACCACTCTCAATCTGCAGATCAACCTTACTCTTCTCCTGAGCTGGTGGGAATGGTGTGTAAACCTTCTTAGATTTATCTGTAACTTTGAATGGTTTTCGTCTCTTGCTGAGAGTCCGTTTCTTGAGTTGCGGAAGAAACCTGTCCCACGATTCCTGCGCCAGTTGAGGATCCTTAGCGAGCTCACGTTTGATCATTAACTCCTTGATGTGATAGATGGGGTGGATGTTGTTCATGCAATCTTCGACAATTCGACGGACTTCCTTCAAACCCTTGAAGGGACCCATTGCAGCAACTGTGTTTCCCTGGACGAGTAGATATGTGCCCGTAAGAAGCTCAAGGGCTTTCAGCGTTGATCCGGAGGGTCCCAGAATGCGCTGTCTCCGTTTCACGAACCTCTCCTTGTTCCGGACTAGGTTACGAATCTTGATGATGTCGCATGCAACGTCATCCTCGAGAATTTTCAATGCCTACCATGCATGCTGGTTTAGTTATACACCTTAGATAATACAACATATATAAATTTGCAGGTTTTCTTACTTGAGGGGCTGGAACACTTCTCGCAAGAAGTTTGATAAGATCTCTTGCTTTCAGGATAGCAGCAGGGTCAAATGTCTTTCGGGTGGTCTTGACAGTCATGTTACCCTCCACAAGATCAAGGGTGCAGGCGATACCGCTCTTCTCCAGCGCCTTGGTTACCAATGGCCATACTTCTCGAAGATATATTTCTCGATACTTTGGGAACAGGCTGACGAAAGAGGATTCTTCCGTGAATGTGCCGCCGACATTATCGGAGGGTTTGAATTCTTCAATCTATTCCGTACCAAAGGGGTGTATTAGTAAAGAGGTCGCATGTAAACGGTGGGAGCGCAACATACCTTCCACTTGTCAATATCATCTGTATCCCAAGGCTTATCCCTCTTATATGTTGAAGGCATTGTGTTCTTATTGCAGAACAGACCGCGCGTGTCCTCTTGGTCTCTTCCCGCGCAGCTTGAAGTGAGCTGTTTCGATATCGCGATGAAGATTAAAAAGAAAGAAGCTTGGATGGAAAAAAAAAAAGTGAGAGAGCAAGCTAAT